ATTGGTGAATGAAGTAGTATTTGCTTCGTGATTTTTATCCTTCCAAAACTAAATCTAATCTAAAGATAAGTCATTCAGTTATTATCAACATATTAACAAAGTTTCCTAATATAAACTGCGTAAGCGGTGATGTGGTGACCCCCAGGTAAAGCTGTGGGTTTTTAGGGCAAATTTGGTTAGTATGTGAAGTCTGAACATTCCAAAGCGGATAAACAACCAACTATGCTAAGCAGCTTAGGGGCTCTTTAGCTACAACAATGCAAGGATCAGGATCAGGTATTCAGAATATTACCCCAGGGAGATGCACGCTATTCTCTAAGATCATCCCAGTGCTTGTAGTTGCGTGTGGCTTATTACCAACAGCTGATTCGCTTCTTTCCACTCCACAAATGCGATAGAAATAACAGTTATTGCCGTGAAAAGCGTGCTCCACAATAAATTTTTGAATAAAAGTGTTATTTTTGATTTACTTCATCTAGAAACCAGGATTGGAGTCCCTATCCTAAATACGTACCATTATTCCATAAACACGTGGTAAATTATGACTGTATATAAATTATTTGCCACAATCTTTATTAATAGTTCGAGCATGACGAACCCGGCTAAATTTAATTGCCGAAAATAAATTATAATACGCAAAGTGCGTGATACATATAAATTTGTGCACGACCACAAAAATTAATTATGCAAGGTTGGCAATCGTGTTACTGTTTTATCATTTTCATCGAAAATTCCACTGAAAGTGGTACAATCTGATTTTTTAATACGCTTATTTTACTTCCTGGTAACCTTACGGTTATATATTTAGCCTAAAATTGATTTAAGTTTTGGTGGTATGGCTCTGGACAGTCCTATAAAAAAAGTTATTGGACATCAAGAAGTCAATGTCAAATCCAAAGTCACCAGCATATTGGTTTCTTGGTATCCAACAACTCTTGTCTGAATCTTTTTGGAAAACCCTGTATATGAAAACGGCGTTAAAATAACAATTTATTACATTTTCGTTGTATTCTTGCTTTGAAAATTCAAGTCCAGGCTAGACTTTGTAACAAACTATCGCGCATACTTAGCCCTCATTGAAATACTAACTGAAACACTAAAAGAATAATCAGATATTCCGTCCCTCATTTTCGTGCCGGCATCCAGATGGGCTCGTAATACCCCCTCATAATTAATTAGGCTATAACAATAAACCTGGAGAATGCCAGCGTTCAACTGGTAAAAAGCAATATTATATGGGAGTGCCCCTTGACACGCCATCCACGAACCAGAGTGAATCTGTTGCCGACTGAATAAAATTACACCTAATAACAATAAACCGCCTCTTCCACCGCATAACTTTTTTATGTCTTCAGGGATTTCGCTTCGGAGCGGTGACATTGTGTCTAAAGGACGTCGAGCGTACGATCCTAAAGAATTTCCGGAAAACGAAAGGGGAGTTCTGCCGATTTAACGAAAGCTGAAATAGTCATAATGGCAGGGATGTGGGATGACATTCGGTCAGGAGGCTTAAGCGGTGAGTTCTGAAGCCGGAAAGTTTGGATACGGTGCCGTCTTTAAGAATATAGCATAAGGCGGATCGAAGAAGTAAGCGTTGGTACCGTTGTGCGCCTTTTAATTTTATTGTAAAATTTAAACCATAACCTTTAAACCATAAACTTTAAACAGTAAACTTCCAAGTTTTAAACATCAAACTTTAAATTTCATATTTGAATCCTTAAACTTTAAAACTTTAAACTTCAACTTTAAACCTTAAACTCTAAACCTTAAACTTTAAACCATAAACTTTAAACTATAAACTTTAAACAGTAAACTTCAAGTTTTAAACATCAAACTTTAAATTTCATACTTGAACCCTTAAACTTTAAAACTTTAAACTTCAACTTTAAACAATAAACTTCAAGTTTTAAACACCAAACTTTAAATTTCATATTTGAATCCTTAAACTTTAAACTTCAACATTAAACTTTAAACCTTAAACTTTAAACCTTAAACTTTCAACCATAAACTTTAAACTATAAACTTTAAACAGTAAACTTCAAGTTTTAAACATCAAACTTTAAATTTCATACTTGAATCCTTAAACTTTAAAACTTTAAACTTTAAATCTTAAACTTTAAACCATAAACTTTAAACTATAAACTTTAAACAGTAAACTTCAAGTTTTAAACACCAAACTTTAAATTTCATACTTGAACCCTTAAACTTTAAACCTCTTTAAACTTCAACTTTAAACTTTAAACCATTAACTTTAAACAGTAAACTTCAAGTTTTAAACACTAAACTTTAAATTTCATATTTGAATCCTTAAACTTTAAAACTTTAAACTTCAACTTTAAACTTTAAACCTTAAACTTTAAAACTTAAACTTCAAACTTTTCACTGTCAACTTTGCACTTTAAACCAGCTTTAAACTATAAATTATAAACTTTACACACAATTAATGCCTTCATCAGCAGATACAATTTTCTAGATAATTATCTTGTTTGATTCCTGTTCTGTCCAGCCTTGCCTAATTTTAAAATACTGACATCTCGCTTATTAGGCTTTTGATCTTCCTTCGAAAAATTCACAATTTAGACGGAAACCACCTTCCCCAGATTCCATCGCGCTTCATTACGTCGCCCCCCGTTTCAATATGTGACGATATATGTGACTAGAATTACCTCTGCAGCCTTCGAATCGTCCCCGGAACTAGGCCAAGCCGCGTAATCCGGGTTCCGGCCGCGACCCTTTGTTTACCGGCGTGCCGAATCTAATTCCCGCCTTAATTAAGTGCCTCAGAACAAACACCCGACTAATCCCCGCAACTAATTTCAATTGTATCTGCGAAAATATGGACCGATAAATCAGCACGCAGAGGCATCGGGACTACCTGTTCCCCCCGCGACTAGCAATCAGCTCAGTGTGGAAGTTACGAGGGTTCCGAGTCGTTTGGAATTAGTATTCCGCTAGAACCGGAGTGGTACGTGTCAACTGAGTCGTGGTATACTCGAAAATGGGATAGGTCTATCAACATCATAACTTCAAAGAATTGGAATTCATTAGATGTGATCTATATTTCACAGAGCACTTTTTGACTTGAAGAGGGACCAAATCCTCTGAAGAATGCAATAGGACAAACTCAACGACATCAAATTCAATGGCAATCCACCAATGAAACCAAAATAAAGTGTAACCTGAGAGCTTATTTCTTTATTTATCTATCTACCACTATGACCAGTACCTTGGAATTCCTACGTCACCATGGGCTAAACCGTTGTCATCTTGTTCAAAAACATTGTTAAATTTATTGAGACCTTCTCCGAAGGACGGCTCTGCAAATTTATTACTCCCGGTGACAAAAGGCACTAGTCTCTCGACTTCATGGCGACGCTAAACCTACTTGAGAACCCTTAATTTTTCAATAATTATTGTTGACCGAAATGTTTTATATAAGGTCTATCTGACAATACCTTCGGAAGTACTGAACCTTTTGATTTAACATATTGGTTCACTTATTTCCAAGCAAGCACCTATTCCAGATTAATTTTTTACAATTTCGTTACATGTTGAGTGCCATACTCTTCTAGATCCAATTTGGTTGTCCTTGAAGAACCTGTCTTCTCTGATCATTACTGCAAATTTGCACAGGATACCAGATATGTTGTTGATCTGTATGAAAGTTACAAGGGTCTCGTTGTACTTGGAATTAGTACGTTGCTTTATGAAAGACAACTTTTTGTTCTAAAAAAATAGTCTTTTTGTTCCATTAACTAGTGTCCTTTTGATGATACTTATAGATTACTACGTCAATATTTTGTAACGAGTTACGAAGAATACAATTTAAATATAATTTAATAATTACAGTTAAGTTTCCTGGCATATCTATGGTAATCCGTTGTTAGAGCAAGAATATAACGTATAAATTTGACCCAGTTCCGCGCTGGTATCAAAAATTATCACTCCCATTACCTCGGGCAGATTAAAAATAGAACTTAATACTCTATTAAAATTCAACATTGCTTAAAACCGACTTATGACACGGTAAATTTAACAACCGTGGATATTCCGAACTCCAAGGTACCCATTTAACTTTTGATAGCTTGCGAACTTTTACAAAATCGACGTCATTTTCCGCAACGAGGGCAAGCCTGGAACGAAGTCGATGTCTTATTTCCAAATGGGGACAGTTGGAGAGATGTCTGCAAGTGCTCCGGAGATACCGGAATGGCGACATACGAGCCATGACCGTTTTTAAACATTTGAATATCAGTTGCGGTGCGGGATGTGCACTCGATTTTCATAAGCTCGCGCTGTTGATTTCGTTTTGTGATGGAAATTGGTTTCATTCCCATCGGGTATATTAGATTTCGACGCTATCGAAACCTCGGTCTATGGTAACATTTACAGAAACGTTGGTTAAGATTTCTCGTACTGTATTGGAGCATACAACAGTTAAATTAATCAAAAAATAAAGAAAAATTGTCTGGGTCTTAGCATCGCATAGAAATCGCATTTATTTTGCGAACTGAATTTATGAAATATCTGATTTAGCTCCTGTTTCGAACCAGCATATGAATTATTGCAATTACCAGTGTTATTATTATTGCTGAGTGCGTTTCATTAAAAGACCATTTGTTTAATTAGTACTTAGGCCATTGCCATAAACACGAATAATTGATTCGATAGAGTCCCCGTAAATTGCGAGTTTTAATAAATCGCATAATTACTCTAATAAACCCAGAGGGCGCTGCAGTAAAGCAATACACGAATTTACGGTAAATTTGGTGCGCTTACCAATAATAACATAATAATTATGGATAATAAACAGGCGATTGATGTTACGCTCGGACTAACCGAACTGAACAAAGCACTCGTGTAACTCTACAGTTTGAAATGCCATTTAAGTGGAAAGATTGCTATTAGCACGATTGTTCTTGGCTTATCAATTCAATTACTTAAATCATTTTACTAATGAAAAGTTTGTCAGGTCACTGTACCTTTGTCGTTTGTTTCAGGAACATGTAACGAGCCTCTTGGTATGGAGTCTGGAGCTATACCCGACGAAGCCATCACCGCAAGCTCCTCGTATGTCCCCAACGTAGGCCCACGGAATGGCAGGTAATTATAACAGTGTTCTACTTTACCCACCCAGACTGTACATATCCTTTTCCACTGTCACGAACCATAGGTTTTTGTGGACTTCTATAATCTTTCACCTAATTTAGTCCTCTGATGAGACTCCACAACTCTGGCAGTCGACTGTCTTCTGTTAGACCAATATTTCTCAGATGTTTTTTGAGTTTGAAGGTCCGATTAGCAGTCCTGAGTCAACATTATTGATTTGCTCAGTATCATAATTGCTTTTTGTATATTATATTAGTTTGTCAACGAAACCTAGATCTTTATCGAAAGTTACGTCGCTGTATTCTGTTGTTGTTTTTATTTTCTCTTTCATTGATATATGTATAAAGTACTAAAACCAGGATATATTTAAAAACTTGGGACTTAAAAACATTTTTGGGCAACTTTGTACATACAACTAGTTCTCATTTGGGACTTAAAAAACATTTTTGGACATACAACTACTTCTCATTTTAGTTTTCTAACATGAACGTTAAGTTCTAGAGGGTCATCTTTCAGACCAAATGGTATACGTGACAATCTCAATTTCAGAAATTAATTTTGCGCTTAGTTTTTAAACTTTAAATACGATATTCGACAACAATTTTTATTCCCATCTCTTACTTAAGACTTTACTGACGATGAAAACTATTCTAGAAAATAAGTCTACATTTTCAAATATTTTTAATGTCTCTGTAAATAACTGTTCAATAATTTTTTTTAACCGTGTAATACCTGATATAGCAAGCTGAAACTACGCAAATATACATAATTAACCTATCCATATTAAAGCCAATAAAACCATAATTACCACTAATAAACACAATATCAGAGGAAGGGTAAATATCCCAGTCCTGCAAAACTTTTCACCTACGCAACATTCGAAATTGAATGTTTCGGTAATTAATATATCGGCATGAAACATTAAATGATTAATACAACAATGTTGTTTCGGACGCCATACATCCAACTGGTCGCATAACAGAAGTTAATTAAAAACAAAATTTATTTTCGATATAATCCTGGGAACCGTTGTTTTGCTTTATCGAACAAAGTTTATTGTTCCGTGGCTGATGAAAACGGTTTTTTAGGTTTACATGGAATTTATTTAACGTAAAACAGGAATTTAATGACCTCCCGGTGATATTACGAATTAAAACTCTGGCTCTAATCTTTGGGATCCTAAATAGTTCCAGATAGCCGAACAGGGAATTGCCTTTACCGGCTTAGTTCGTGGGCTTTGCTTTAATAATTTATTAACGTTCAGGGGTATGAGGAATGTGAGGAAAATGTTTGCATAGCCATATATGTCGACTCTATAATGAATATGAATCCCCGGAATGTTTATAGAAATTGTAGAAGCTGCTTGATGATTCATTAAAGTATAAGCAGATGCAAAATTTGTTAAAGACATACAGACAAAGACATAAGGGCAAATTCGTATTGTATTTGAAAAGATAAAAAACTATTAGTTCTATGTACTTTGTTTCGAAATGTAACAGTCATAAAAGCTCAAACAAATAAACTCACACATGATTAATAATAAAAACACTAAAAACCAGAGATGAATTAGTTACACATTATTATCATCATTTCGTTTCTCAATCAATCAAACCAATAATTGTACAGTTACATATACATACCAACATCGTAGGACAACGCTTAATATAGAACGCTAAGAGTCTTGTATTACCGATAAGCCACCTTTCCGCCATCTATTGTCGACATATCAGTTGAATTCCTATGCGCCAAACCTTTAAATTCATCATTCAATTCCTCTGAAATGATATTAACTTCTATACGATTAATTCTGAGCTATTTAATATAACTATTTGCATTGCAGAGAGCGTTATTTGAGAAGCGGAAAGTCACATACATTTATTTTTAACTTGAATTAAAGAATTGTAATGATGTTTGTACAAGTTGGAAGTACAAGTAATAATAATAAATGTGTGTGCAGTCTGTGTGGTTATTCGAGATGGGATGCATTTGGAAATTACATTTCCTGTATTTACATACTTTTATCTGCAATTTTAGTTTGTTGTTTACTTGTTTAGGAATGCCACGGGATGGGTAGTTAGTATTAAATGAGGAAAAATATTGGGGTAAATATTATAATGTAACATTTGATCTTTCTTTCCGTTCTTTTCTTTTCTATTATATATTCTATTCTTTCTTATCTCCTGTCTTCTATTGCCTCTTCTCTTATTTCTTCTCTTCCATCTTCTCTTATTTCTTATCTACTCTTATTTCTTCTCTCTTCTCTCCTCTTCACTATCGTTTCAAAGTTTCTTGAAAAAGAGAGTGATGTCTTTCAAAATGTCATGTTTTGTATCATTACTATCAACGGTTTAACTTTCTAATGTGTCTTTTGAAATGTCTAAACAAGGATACAAACTAATCCTACTGTTTTGGAACTACTCCAAATCAGATGACCTTCATTTTTTCCATATCGTTCCGAATTCAAGATTTCATTTGCTCTCAACAAACAATTGGGGGAACCCATCGGTTCTTCCAGTGAATCACAAATTCACGAGGAGACCCATCTGCCAGCCCTCTGGATAGTTTCAATATGTTGCCGGAAGGCGTCGCTAGACAATATTGTCTTAAGCCATCGTAAAGCATAATGGGGGTCATAACGGCAGCCACGAAAATTAAATCGAATCTCCCGAGTAAGGGATGCAGACTAACCGCCCAATTTGCGGCCTGCACTTACATTATGGCTTATGATAAGGGCGGAGCTTAAGAACGGCGGAGATGCCAAGAGTACAGTGTGGGGCATTTTGATTGAATTTGATGGAAATTCAAGGCCACCGGTTTTATTTCAGAAGGGAATATAATCGAGATAAGGATTTATCTCGTTTGGTCACGAAATCCCGGACCAAGATGAAGATGACGAAGCTTTATTTCTATCGATGGATGTATTTCGTGTTTCAAAATGTATTAGTTGGCTTTCCAAATCAAGGACATTGTCTCTTGGATAATTTTAGACCTCAGTGAACCAAGATTAATTGTTTAAAAAATACATCACATCATTCGTTTGTCTCTGAAGGTGTTTGGCATTTTCACACCTAAAAAAAAAAACGTTTATTTAACAATGTCCAACGTTACCTGGTCTTTTAAAGTATTACAAGCTGTACAGGTTAGTCTTGAAAGCAGAACATATGCCTTGTTCCTGCTAGGTCTGGTATCTGCTCACGCGTGGCTGTTAGAATGTCCCAGATCCCTCCGAGACGGCAGAATTTCCATAATTCGCCTTGGGTTTATCTTGGATGGGTCCTTAAATTATAATAATTGCGGCTGTTGGATATGTCCTTGCAGGTTTTATGGTAACGGGGCTGTAAAGGCAATACGTGTTCTTTTCTTAGCACTAAAAAAATATAGAGCGTGGCTCTCACTAGTTACAATCCTTCAATTGTTCCTTATACAGGATTATTCACAATGTATCAGAAAAAATGTAATGGACCTGTTAGTGCTGCCATAAGTCATTGAAATACATAGTTAAAAGACTGATGTAAACAATAAACCACGCTAATAAGAGCACTATGATAACTACAGTAATAACGAATAAACAAGCATTGGGAAATTATTTTTTTATAATATTACCTTTCACGTCTGTTACTATATACATATTTCAGTATCACCAAAAAGAGGAATGTTTTCCTTCTAACTGCCATTTCTTTTAAAACTAAACAACGCTTTGTTTGACCCTTTCTTTCAGCAAAAGATTATTTCCAGGGGGCCTCAGGCCGTAACGGCTACCAATATGGCAAAATTAATTTAACGACCGCCACACAACCATCCACTTCCCGGTTTCTGGAAAAAATTGCCCCATTTCTAGGCCTCCCCAGACCATTATCAGGCTCCTATTTACGTTATCGCCATATTTACACTAGTTTACTGCCTGTCGGAGGCCATACATCACCTCCTGGCTGTCGAGATTAATTTCAGGGGTCGGCGCGTGAATTTTCTTTCTCTATAATTATTATTTCATTTTAGGCACTATGATATCAACACAGGAGATGTTAAAATATAAAGTACATCCACCAGGATGCGAATTGTAACTGAATTATGTAAAATCCACCTCGTATGAAACTTCAAAGACCGTCTTGACCGGATATTCTCCGATTACGTCTCCACGTTGAGTAAATCTTTATTTGTCGACAAACTCGAGTTACTTTTTTCTGAAAACCGAACGCAGGGACCGTAATCCTCTTCCGGATATTTCAAAGGGCTCCACCAGGAGATTTTCCACTATTTCAAGCTAAACCGTTGGTCCTCCTCCTCCTCCTCCTCCTCCTCCTCCTCCTCCTCCCTTGGTTCTCCTTGTAATATTTTACCTATCATCAAGGTAAGCACGCTTTTTTGCATGAAATTCGGATATCGCCCCAGAGATGATAACTTTTAGCTCGGAGAGGAACATAGAAAATTCGAATTCATTGTTGGTTTCAGGGACATGAAGAAAGAAAAGATCACTTTTTTTGTAAGTAATAATGAAGATTTCTACAGCAGATGTGAGATTTTGTATGATAATTTTATTAAAATGAGTTCTATTCGATTATTGGAATGAGACGCAGGAGAGTGTAATTTTACGTGTAGATCACATTTTTCACAAAAACACTCTTGTATTTATATATTTAGTACCTACTCTATTTTTGTTTGATATCACTCAGCCACCAATGTCGACATAGTACGTCCAATTTATTTTGTTGTTGTTCAAACATAGATACAACCTCAGAAATTGAATCCCTCTAGATAATATACCAATATCTGTTTACATATTTATTTCTTTTAACAAAAATCATTCTATATCGGAAGATTTTCACGATGTATTTAATTTTTTTGTGTGTGTTTAACATCACTTTAACATCATTGCAAAAAAGGCGTACTTTGGAAAACAGGCCAATCTGGGAACCTCCTAGCAGAGTTGCGTTTTATTACTTGTGGCGCCCAACATTTTGATATTTGTACTTTAAATATTTTACTGACTACACCCTTCAAACTGAGTGATTCGTCGGCACCTTTGTTACCCACTTACGCTTCCAAAGTACCTAACTTTTTTTCTATTTAATCCTTTTTCCCCTTTTGTCTTTTTTTAATATATGTGTATATATTTTGTACAAATAGTTTTTAAACAAAAAAAATTCTAACCAAGCGTAGCAGTACTATAAAGTACAATACTGTTCCTGGAGATTTATCTGGTTGGCAGGCGTATGTGGTTGTTACATAGATGTACCAATGCCGTCTTGATGGTACAGTGTACCATCTGAAGCCTGAGAGTGTCTCTGTCTTGAATCTATGGTTTCGTGTCTTTATTTCATAAATTCTTGAACTGGCAGGAAATACTTGAGTAAATCTGTACAACAAATAAAATTGCCGGTCTTAAAGACAACTATGTTCACATAAAAAATAAGCTGCTGCTTCAAATAAAACAATCTGCTGTCAAATTCCGACACTAGAAAGTCAATATCCACCTCCAAATTGAAAAGCCCACCGAATTATTACCGCGCCAGATAGAAAAAAGTAAATATTAGTAGCATCGGACTTCCCGTGATCGACTTTTTTGCCGGCCCTCCTTATCGCCTCGTCACTGTCTCGCGCCCCGCATACTTCTCTAGGTTAGCGGTGTTATCGCTCCCGGCAGGCCAGGCCGCCTTGATTTAGTGCTGCGCTGGTCATGGACTCGCCGGGACGCCGTGGCAACGCCGCAGCCTCCGTGCCGGACGCATCGCGGCCGCCTCCAGGGAGCTGGCCAGAGCCGGGTCAAAGCCTTCTGCCACCCGGTCGGTAGGGATTACGCAATTAGGCTCCGCGGACGAGGAACGCGAGGACGAGACGGGATTGGATCATCCGAGGCTCTGGAAAGTTGTTCGGACGGATTCCGGTAGCCCTCGCGGATCCCGCGCTGTATTGGGATAGTTTCGAGTAGAAATTATCTTTCTTTGGCCTTAGATGTAGGTACTTGCGTTTATGTCGGTCTTCAAATGGGTTTGCTGCAAGTGTAGAACCGTGATGCTTTGTGGGATCGTAGTATCGGAACACTATGCGAGATGAACAGCACATTAAATTTAAAATAATCGGACTGGATTAATGACAAGTGGAGTGACCTTTACGTAAATGTAGATCACCTTTTTCTGGTAGCTTCTTTATCAACCGTAACTTTCTGTGCTATCCGACATATGTATTAATCGCCCGAACCCGCTGTTGCTGTACGCTGTAGGCCGCGGTCAGCCGCAGCCAACAGCGGTCGCTTGTAAACACGGACTGCACGGCCATGTGCAGCGATAATAGCCGGGCGTACTGCATACGGAATCGCCCTTAATAGACCAATAAGTTGTTTTAGAGACTATCCCGACGTAGCGGACTCGACTGTACGGTGCTTTTAATACACATTAGCCAGGATATGCGATGCACTTTGGGACTGCGCTATTTTCCTTTCGGGAATTTCATTGTGTCGGCTCCTGCTGTGGGCTCGATGGAAAATGACCCGATGTACGTTTTCCATTGTTGCGTAATCTTTCCATTTTAACAGTAATAAATATTTTACTGTTAATTTGACGACCAGATATCGAATTTGAAGCTATCGACCGGTCACGAAAGTAGGTGGCATTGTTTTCATTAAAACATAACCCTAATTTTATAATTCCGTCGTGTACCTTATAATATTTAATCTAAGCTTTATTTTCGGAAAACCACTCAGTGGAAATTTAATTTATAAGGGAGCTGTAATTAATTTAAAAGCTTTCACGTGTATAATTTCGGTTGATACGAGTTGTGATTGGGATTGGGAATTTCGTCGTGTTAATATAATTATGCGGTGAGCGGGTGGCTCCCTTGAGGTTTTTAAATTACATTTTGATTCGCGCTTTTACTCTTGGCCTTGTCATTAATTCGCCGTATTATTTCTTGCCCGATCCGATTTTCCACCGGGTTAATGACGCTAATCGTTACCGAACGCTTCCCTTTCTGGACGTTCGCGAAAGGGCACCTCCGTACCAATCAAATTAGTGGATGGTTTTTATTTTCCCATACATTTTCTACTAACTTCGGGATATATTGCCATCCGAATAAACAAGGATTGCTTCAAGGTACCAAAAGGCAACGAATGTGCTTGAATTCAGGTCGTGTACACATACTGGCCACTCTAGTTATAGAACTGCAACCTACCAAGGTCGACGTTCGATCACGCTTCATGATAGCCTCACTAATTCTAGAGAACTGTTCTTCGGTGTGGATTCTGACCAAACTTAGATTCAAAAAATAAGTGAAAGACGCTTTTGACTTTAATAGTGTATGTATTGTACGTAATTTATCTAGTTATTGGATAATTAGACTCGGGGTTTCGTCCACGCTGCGATGGTAGCTTCAATCCGATCCGTGGCCCGCTGGGACCTGTCTGACAATCTGCGGCCGTCCTGTCTGCATTGTTTCCCTCAATTTTCCCCGTTCCAGTTACCGTTCCCATTGAATGGCCGCCAATGCCGGCCAGGTGTTCCAATTACTCGATTCCGACGTTTCGCATCCAGATAATGCTAATGAGGATTTCTAATTAATATCCGATCTAATGGAAACGTTGATAATGTGCAATTGTGTTCGGTAAACGTTTACTAACACATATGCTGGGCAGGTGGATCTAGGCAGGCATTATCGGATCAACTTTCCACCGGATAAGTTTCGCGGGCTGTATCTAACGATCTGTCATTAGACGGTGATTGTCAGGATCGAGTTTTATGGCAATAAGACGGCTTTCGTTTGAGGGTACCTTGATTTCCTGCTTGGTCCCGCGTAATGCCTAGAGAATTATTTAGAAAGTAGTGTTCCACATCGAATTTTGAAACAAAAAGTAAAGTAAAAATAGTAATAGAAAAGAAAACTAATAACTTTAATGCGAGCAATGGAGATCTTTAAAGACAACGACAGACTGTGGCAAACTAACTCCTGTAAACTTGAAACGTATCACCTATGGTTTGCTGAAACCATTTAGAATTCCCAACATCACATAATGTGAAATCGACCTAATTAGGATATAAAAAAGATGATGGGAAATCAATAAAGACCCTTCTGGCACCCGTAATACAATTTTATTCATTTTTGTTGCGAAAACAGGACGATTATGACTTCTAGAGCATCATATAAGCCTCCATAAAACTAAATTTATTTCCAGATTTGTTTTTGATAGCGAGTCCTCAAGACGGAGCTGGCAAAAATCGGGTGCTTTGACAATTGGAATCACGAATATACTACTCAGTCTAATTGAAACAAATCTTTCAAATGCTCTACAAGAATTAAAGTGTTTTGTTTATACAGGCCCAGGCACATTTTTAGAGTCTAGAAGTTTTACTATTCCACAAATTTATCAAACTTACTATGCCGTTCCAATGGTTAAAGAACATTTGCAAGATTATTAAAACTCCATTCAACCGTTGCTTGACCAAAATAAATAACCATAATACTAAGGATTATATTGAGCCAACTTGATCATTTATATGGTCTAAATAATTTTTGTACAAGCTCTTAATATTTTGATGGTTGGGTGACGCTTTTGTATATATTTTTAAATATAAATGTAAATGTTTCAATGTAGTTTTGGAACCTATGTTTTTGCTACACCTTTGAATTTTCGTAGTTACTTTATTTCAGCTGTTTCCTTGATTTTCCGATATATTTTAGGTAAATGCAAATCATTATAATTACGTATCATCGATTTCCTCTCGTATTTACGACCAGATGATGAAAATTGCTTAATATAAAATCGGGAGATTAATTAACTGGGTCTGTTACACAAATAAAATTTTATGAGATGTATTTTACAGTGCTGAATGGTCCAAAATCGAATATTATGATTAACTCGCAACTGTTGGACGGTTGGAATTGCTGTTACAATTCAAAATTGAATATTCTACATTGTATGGCGCCCAAAGACGAAAAATATGCAGAAGCTTTTAATAATTCCATAAACAACACGTAGCAGTCGTAGTTCTTGAACTTTTTTAATGGTTGTTTTTATTTCAAAGTGATGGAATTGCGAATAAATGAACAAATCCATTAAAATGACGCCTTATCTAGTCGCGAAATCCTTCATTAAACTTTTGACAAGCATTTTATGAATTTTCATTATATCCCGCATCTCAAAACAAAGTACAAATAAGCTCGGTATTCTACACATATCTTTCTAGCGGACTGACGCCAACCTACCCATTCCCAACGCTCCCCTTTCCCGGATTTTTTAAGCATTGATCAATGTTTGTTCCAGGCTACGCGTGGAGAAAGCGGGCGGGGGCTGGTGCCCCAAACAACAGGTGGAGAGCGGTATCAGGGAGTTCATCCAGGTGGACCTGGGGGACGTCCACGTGGTCACCGGAGTACAGACTCAAGGAAGATATGACCGCGGGAGGGGTCAGGAATACGCCGAAGAGTACACAATGGAATACTGGCGACCTGGGTTGGACGAGTGGAGAGAGTACAAGAGGTGGGATGGCAAACAGGTGAGTGAATGCTGACAAATAGTTTAATTAGTGATGTTATGTTAAATTTTACCCTCACGACAGACTACAATTTGTTCAATGCCAAGGATTTAAGTCCACACAAGTTATTGCATTGTCTGGGGTTCCTCAAGGCTCAACTTTGGGCCCTTTGTTATTTAACACTTGCGTTAACGATATGCCTTCTTGTATTGATGTCTACTTACAATATACGGATGACATGAAAATTTTCTGATCATTATATAACGTTGCACATTGTGAATAACCTCATGTTAAATTGAATTATCTCAATTTGAACATTAAAAAGTGCAATATTTTGTCCTTTTCCTGAAAGTAGAGTACATTAGTCTTTCCTTAGAAAATAGATGAGTTCCTTTTTTAAGATCAAGATCCAGGGGACACCCCAAGATTTTCATTTAACGATTATATTTATACAAGAAAAAAAATTAATTTTAAAAGTCAAAATGTTGAATTAAAGCAACTACGTACCCTTACACTTATCTAATAATAAATATTCCATTACAGACATTACCTGGGTATTACAGTTTATTACAATCAATAATCCTAAAGGTACATAATTATATGATTTTGGTATAATGGAGATTACGTTGTAGATGTCTTTATTTCTTCATTACATACATTTAGATGGGTACAACCAATAAGAGTAATTTGGTATAATACTGTTTTAGTTCTTAGTAAATGTAGGTATAATTTCTAATAGATTAATAAATGAATATGTATGTAGGATAGATAATTATTGGCTAATTTTATTGATTAGAAGATGAATGGGTATATCTTCAGTGGCATTTATAATTCAGGCATATTTGCCTGCCGTCTAATTATTTCATCAAGTCGTCTAGAACGCTATTAATAATTTATTTTATAGTCAGCACGTTGAACAATAATTGATTTTTTTTAAGAAATCTTCCCACTTGACGACAGTAGTATTGGTCTTTCATTGTCTAGTCTTAAATGTCAAACAACCACTTGGAGTCAGTCAAAATGAAATGAAAAGTTGTGTAACAGCTACTTCTTTCGAAGTATTATCAGTAGCAACAATTCCATCGATATATTATTACCTTATATCTGACACGCTATAGCGTCAGCTTAGTTCAAGGCGATCGTATTAATTGATTTCCATAAACTTTGGCATTTCGCCCCGACCCTTCCAGTACCGCGCCTATTGACGTTAAACATGTAACAACCCCAGCACTACGTACGCCTAAACTTGACGCTTTTGCCACTTCCATACGGAATAATCCCCCTCGTTCTCCGTAACACCTAATAAAGAGGCGCGAGCATAAATCCAAGGCGGCACTTTTAATCTACATACGTTACTTTGGAGTTTGCCTGCTTACGAGCCACTTAGCATAAACATCTGATACGGAACGGGGTGTAACACCTCCAAGTGTCTGACGGTCATTAAAATTTACACTATGTAAAAGTTGTACGAGCTCGAGGATCTAAAGAGTGGAGTGCGTTAATGTTAGGACCGTAGGGGTAAAGCTTGGGGTTTGTTTAGACTTTAGGGGATGAGGAAAGGTTTGTATACGTCTTTGTTGATATTCTGGGGTTTGGCTAGGATGTCGTTGCCGTTAATAAATTATCAGTTTTAAATCTAGTGCATACTTATTATGGTTAGAGCCTACTTTTTGTCAGGAGCAAACGATGCTGTTGCAAGAAGATGATGTTAGATTGAACTTGAATTGAGGAGTATTTTTGAAAGTTTGATTAATCCTTTATTACTTTTCAACCCCTGCCAACTCGACTAATGCACCAAAGAGATTGATCGCCCACTATTATATCGTTGATTTATGTTAATTTATATTATTACAACTATTTCCCTAGCAAACAGTTTAGTTCAGAAACGTTCCAAATTGCGGTACAACAGACTTTCAGCATAAATAAATTGCCACTATTAAAATAAGAAAGCGAGCGCAAAACTTCGCCACGCAATCAAAATATTTTTATCGCTATTGTATCAAGCGGAGACTTCTACAGATAGAAGGCAGCACGCGAATTGTCGAGGGAAATAGAAGATGACTTGGATAGATTCTTCCAGTTTATTTTACAAAGAATTTTTTAAAATATATTTATATCCAGAGCGGGTCAAATTTTCAGGACAGTTTTATGAACTTCAAACAGATTTAAACTAGAAGATACGTTAGTCTAAAGCTCTGCAACATTTCGCACAGCGACAAAGATGCCACCGTCGGGGATCAGTTGAATTTCTACTCTTCCGGAGACAGTCGTGTTCCGAAGGTAAATTTCTGAGCTCTCTGAGAAATGTTAGCATTGCCGTTAATTAACCTAATAATGTCTATTGAGAGCAAGTACATAAAGGAAGTCTACAAAGTAAGTATATTACCCCTAAAGCGGTTACAATGTAGGTAAATCTCTCATTACACATCGATTTTCATTCAAGGCTAGATAGACAGCGTTAACGAGGTTGCCAGCCTGATAAAACTGGATGAATTTGTTGTCTGGAGTCGTCTTGAACGGTTATCAGAAAGTCCCTCTTTTTTGCAAAATCTTCGATGTAGTAAACAGACTTGCGTTTCAATTGAAATGATTGTTACAACAAAAACATTCCGAATTTCCCCTGGTAGTATTATAATAAATTCATAACAATTTTATACACGTGGCAGGGTTTGAAATTTGGAGGGATTATGTACAATGTTAATTAAATTTGAATCTGCTGGCCATGTTTATCCATGTTTTGTTTTGTTAAAATAAATAATACAGATATGACAGTTTAGAATGTTTAATTTTCATGTGTCCTAGAACAAACAATCGTGTTACTGTAAATAATATTGTGAAATAAATATTTCAATTGTTGTATATAACAAAATTAAATAGTGTTTGAAACATTTGCTAACGACAGTAATCTTATATGCGGCTGATTCCTGAAAAAAAAAGATTACTGAGAAAGACTTAGTATTCATTCAGAATTGGTTTGGACAAAATGTAGGTGACTCTGAATTTTGAAAAAATTAATTATGTTGCGTTTAGCTACTATCAAATTCCTCACAGATACAGTACCAAATTTTATGAAAGAGTTCACATTTAAAGTCAAAATCAAGATCACCATTTAATTTGTCATTCAAAATTCTACAAATTTTTCTTGAAACGTTTTTGTCGAGTTTTTCAGAACAAAATGAGTTTGATCTCCAAAGGACTTATCGAAAAAATCCCCTCTATCGATTGCTAGCTTAAAAAATGGTGTCCCTTTAATATTTTCAAGTTGACATTGGTTTGACCTTGAAACTTGAGACCAAGGTCATACCCAAAGGCACCAGCATATTGGTTCCAATCCTGAAAAATTATCAAGGTACCTGCGTCCTTTTTGTAACACCCTGCATATATTTTAATTGGTCTATTTAGACTAATACATTAAAATATTTTTCAATTTATTGCTATATATTATCTTCCCTGGCTAAAAGAAATCATTTAAAGTATACCAGGAAATAAAAAAATATTATATTATCATTTTCATGGCCTGTTCCATAGGAACTTTTAACTCTTTATTAAATCTCGGCCTTATCTTTGTCACGGAATTGTTCCATCTCTTCATAATTGAATTAGAAGGTCCGCCGACACTTGGCCCCATCACAATTTAAATTCGGAACCGACAACTATCCGTATTTTTCCAGAAACAAAGCCGCCAGTCAGATAGGCACGGTTCGCGAAACAATTTAAAAAGAAAACGTTTCCTCTGCGCTCAAAGCGGCTCTTTAACCTCGTCGGACCCGACGTCAGCCAACACAATGCCCAGATGGTATCGCTTAAACGACGCGCTCGTCTGTCGACGCGGCCGGAAAAAATTCCTTCTTGTGTGCAAGTCATCCATGAGAGCAGATGCCATCTTGCTGGTGCCGGCAGCTTCCGCAGAGGAATTTGCGGGGATTTAGAGGCGCGCCGCAGTGCACAACCCCACTCCCCCCCCAAGGGGTGGATTGCTAGAGCCAAATATCGCTCTAAGACTACACAAGGTGATTTACAATTTATCCAAAACACTTTGGAGATATTATCAATTTTTTATGAAGAACTAAATAACTTTTCACTGTAATGTCAAAATATGTTCTCTGCTATTTGTAGGGGATATTGAATATTTAACGATACTCATCAATTACTTAACGCTTTGTCTTTGTAATCACTTTACTAGTTGCTATTGGCAACAAAATGTAATAATAATAATAACCACACGTTTGAAATGACATCGGGATCGTCATCAAGCAGGTTCTATGATTCCTAATAAGATTGCACAGTTTTTGAAACTAGAACATCCTGAAACATATACAGGCCATTCGTTCCGAAGAACATCGGCAACGTTACTGGCTAATACAGGAGTTGATGTATTAGCAATCAAGAGACATGGTGGGTGGAAATCAGCCACAATTGCAGAAAGTTATGTTGCTGACAGTTTAAGTAACAGAAGGAAATAGCCAACAGGATTACAATGACACTTCACAACTCTATACTTGTATCATTTATTTGGGGTATTGCGACATAACTACTAAAACATATATCCAGTGTGGCTAGTTGCGATCTTTACAGCTACAAAATTTTTTTAATAGATTATATTTATATACTTTTGAAATGGATATACATAGGACTAGATTATAAATTAAAACGCTGCTTTAAAAAGAATATGGTTATTTTTACGTAATTTTTGTAACAATTAATGTATTAATAATATGTTAATAGTTTCACTGTGTCGACAAAAATGTGGTTCCCATTCTTTTTACAACAAATTATGAAACATAACATACAAACTAATACAGTTATGTTTAAAAAAGGTGATCTCATTGATGTCGAGATCCATATCATTCCTGTCACATCGCATGTGCCATATCCCTTATCTACGTGCGAATATAAAATTTATGGACTGTTTTTTTTACCGGAGAAGCAAATCGGTCAGTACAAACCAGCCGCTGGCGTTTTTATTCGGGGTCGAATAAAATAAGGAGTGCCAAATTCGGCCTATCAGATAAAGATATCATTCACATCGTCGTAGTCATGAATATCCCATTCTGAATGGGATGTTTTTTCACGCATCTTTCGGAAGCGATCGACCTCGACCACTGAACGGCGATAGGGAAATTGAGCCGAAATAGAGCTGAGCCAGAGGCGTAGCCGCGGTGTTCGTTCAAATAATTTTCTTGGGATTTATTTTTAAAAATCATATATTATTTTTACTCTATTTTGCTTGAAAATATAAAATGAGAAGTTTCAGACACAGAAGCTGAAGAAATGAATTCGTAAAAGCTGGGCTGAGTTTTTGAATTAGGTAAACAACAGTTTAAATATTTGTTTTTTTTTTAATTGAGAGAACTGAAGTTTTGTTTCTTGCGTTTCTTGCTCATGAAAAATTAAGGTTTTGTTTCTTTTTATCGTATTTGCCTTTGCCCAATTTGTGTTTAAAACTAATTTAAAATTAAAATAGCTTCATATTTACTGAGGTTTAATCAAGAAAAATATATTTCAAGTGTTTTTAATGGGACTTTGTTTGTCCATTATTTCCAACGTTTCTATAAACACTGTTATATCTTAAGAAAACATTTCCAGTCAAAACCATACGCCAAAAGCAGTGCATCAACGACCACAGAAAACTTAGTTTCGCTCAGTTCAATACCCCCAAAGCAATCGCTCCATTCCTCTAACATTAACCAAATACCCAACACAACTTGTCGAGTTATATTAACCGTAACTTGGCGAAAATACGATATGGCCGTTCCCCGGCTACTTCCTGTTGCTGCGAATAGCCCCTAACTAGTTAATTGTGGCCGACGAACAATGTGCCCTAGTCAGTCGATTCCTGGTTTTAGATCCTGAGAGGAAACAGCGACACCGCTTCCGTCGAGAGCCATAAGCTAATGCCGACCATATTCGCCAGCAAGGTGAGGGTGTTGCCGCACAGCATCCACAGAAGGACGGTCTGCCTGAGGATGGAGCTGCTGGGATGCCCTTATGACGGTAAGTTGCCCTAGAATAGATGTTTGTCAGTGTCAACTGTTTTAGTGGGATAAGTATCGGTAATAAATTAAGAAAAGACAGTTATTAATTCATTGCCAATGTTTTGTTGACATTTTTTGACTAGTAGTTCTAAATGAAGACCGTGCAAAATATTCTACGTCAGGGAATTATTGGATGAGACACAGGGAGACTAGGGAGCAGTGCTCTTTTTTAAAATAAATTGATTTGACCGTCTTTTCCATAAATTTCATCTACATCCATAGCTTTTTGTAATAATAATGTGCAATTTTCGAAAACTGATTTTTCCGCGTTCGGACTTTATTTTACAGTTAACAAATTCGTGAAAAATGACTTCAGGTACCTTAAATTGTAGGTAATTTAATTGCCTAAAGCATAAAATAACTAATTTTCCTGTAGGTTTAGATGCGGCATGAGAAATGGCGTCAAAATCGTAAAAAACATTTTTGTAAAATAGTTTCCGAGAAAAAATTATTGAAGTTGTAGTACTTTTAACCATTACATAGCTAGACAACTGTAGTTTATAGCGTCATTCGCAAAACACGTGGAGAGCCACGTGGCCTCAGCGACTCTGAATACTTAAATCCGATTTTACAATCGTCTTTGCGATAGTGTTTACAAAAGTTTTTTAGTAGTTGATGTCAAAAATGTCTTGCGTGTATAGCAACTCGGAGTTGATGGATATCGTTTTAATTTATGGGGAAGCAAGACAACGTTTGTATTAAGGTGAAGCATTTATGTTCGTAGGCGGAACAATCATGGGGTCAATTATTTTTATTATGTTATTACATTATTTTCCATGGTTCCTGCCTACAGGAAAACAATATTTCGCGTATACGGACGGACCCGAGCCCTAGTGACCCCGTTTTGGGGCATCCCCCTTGGTCGTCTCCCCGTCCATCCCTCACTTCGCCTGCCTCAAGGAGTTCGGAATCAATATCAAACAGAGCCCCGGTCGGAATCAACAAATCACCCTGCCTCCCGGCGGGGAAAAAAGCAAAGTCGGCGCGCGGCATGTAAATGACCCTTTATAATAAACCCAACTGCCGATTAATCAGTGTCGGGAGCAGTGTTTACTCTCTGAACAGGGCGAGATTACATCTGGTAGAAAACCACCCGGACGGCTTTTCTCCGCAGAGCATCCATAATTAATCGAGGAGTAGCTCTTTGAGTGATGGGCCCTGAATACTTTGGCGGGGTAATGGGACGGGTCGGGAAGCCCTTGGTCTGGTCGACTTGCGGCTATCAGAGGGATGTGTAGGTCGTAAGGTGAGCTGGTGATTGTTGCGTAGATGTTCCGAATATTCGTATTCAATAAAACAGTGAACAGTTTAAATTTACGTAGAATCTGATCCTGTTCAGAACGCTTACGAATGGCAACAGAAATAAGCCTCTATTGTTCAATTAAAATGCCGTATTGCCGCCTCTAAAGAGCTGCTACTGCTAGACTTCATACCTGGTATGATACAACGAGATGGTTAATTCGGGAATGGTCGATTAAGTTATTACCGATCGTCGTCATGTCGTCATCAAAAGATCAATAAAGACATTTGAGCAAAAATTTCATATATTTTAATCAAACTCTTAAAAAAATAAAACAATAAGACCAGTTCACTCGTACTTCTAATTTTCTTCAAACTACATCGCCGCTACCCGAAAGACAACCCGCCCCCTCTAATCTATTATCGTTTGCTGTTCCACGTCGTTCTAGGATTTAATTCCACCAAACAGTTGTTGCAAGTGATTTATTTTAGATACCTAAGCACCCGTGCAAAAATTATTGCATCTGGTAGTGACATCGGTAGATGAATTGTTTTGTATTTCATTATGTTCCCGTTATATCAAATGACTGGGAAAGATCTGTAAAGACGCGGGCGAGATTTACAGCGTCTAGATTTAATATTAGCTAAGGCAAGACGCCGCTCGCTAGGGATATAAAAAGTGAGGAGGAGAACGGAAAAAACACCGGGGAATTGCGATGAAATAAAAAATTGGCGCTGGATGTGGACACTCACGGAAAATGAAATGCTTATGTTGTATAAAGTGATTCACAAGTTAATAAAAAAATGAGATGTATGGTGAATCTCATATCACAGTGTAAAAAAAAACAAAAGAGACAGCCCGAAAATAAATTATTACACAGCTTCGGAATGTGAACGTTTTGGATCAGCTCTTATTTTGACCCGAACATCGAGACACTTCTCTAGATAACTGTTTTCAAAATTTTTAGTCAGTAATTGGAAAAACATCAAATTCATGGTCTGTTTCCGCCATAATCCCATAGCCTCGTAGCTTTATAAACCCATTAATCCCGAAACCCCATAACTCCCAAACCCCATAATTACCTGTATTTTAGTTTTTTATATACATAAAATATTTTTCATAACGTTCTATGAAAACAAAGTACGACCCTGGAATGTACGATTTACTCACGGACCTTACCATCTCGCATGTTCTCGATAGAGATGCAACTTATTAAAGTTTACTGAAGCATTTTTGGTTGTTTCCATGGCCAACTAACACTAAAATTTCGATTCTTTTATACTGAATCGAGGTGTTTCCACCCCTGAAAATGCGTAAAATATACACTTCCTTGGGCGCCCGTTTGTTTGTTTTTTAAAATGGAATTCCGCCCAAACCCAATCCGCAGTCTACAAAAAAGGACCCCCATCCGTTCGCAATCCTTCCCGTCCCGAATCCATCGTCCTATCGACGCCGATCAGATTCGCTGTTGCACAAAGGCGAGACCGTCGACGTTCGACACGTTACGAGGGCATTCCGCCGGACCGGACGGAATTTCCTCGTAAAACACCGAGCCGAGACGCAGGGGAAGTTATTAGGGGATTACACACCATTATTAAACGATCCGACCGGCCAGATATAAGGGACAAGGGTGGCGATGAAGGGACGATGGAATAATACGGAAACAGGTTCGAAGGAGCAACGGCGATAAAATTGTTACAGGCGGGGATTCTGGAGTAAACAGTTGTAAGCGGTGGGGAGATATCCTTTAAACTAAAATTACTTTGAACACTTGTAATTTTGATGCAAACAATAAACCACGGTAATAAGAGCGCTGTGAACACCACAATAATACTGAATAACCGAATTGGCGTGCGCAAAAAACTTAAGATTTGCATTCAAATATTTCTCTGTGTCGTATTTAAATGTAGAACAAACACATCTAAACTGGTCTTTTTTTGGTAACGCCATTTCCACAGCAGAAAAGTTTTAGAGATTTAAGTGCACCCACATATGTCTCCAATAAGAATGAAATATTTACCGCAACATTCGAGGATTCGATGCAACTGCTTAAACTTCGAACTCCTACAGTAGCACTGATAAGTAAACAGCGTCTACCAGTATTTTCTAAACTTTCGAATCGAAGGCGGAAATACGTATGGGAACAATGTAGGCACCTTTTGTGTTATCCTTGTTATGTTTATCTCATAATCCACCAAATGGATGGGATCAGATCACATGGAATCAAATCAAACCTGAGAGCATTTGCTATTTCATTGTCAGATATATTTCATATGACGTTATATCGAAAAAATCGTAGAATTTTCATTATTTCCATACTTCAATAACCGAAATGTACATTGGAGACTATTGAGAATAAAATTGAAAAAAGTATTTTTGTTCCAGTTAAGTAAAGTGTCTTTTTGACACTTAGGAACTAGAATTATGTTATTTGCCTTTGTAAGTTAGATTTTAAGGTTAGCTTTCGCTTGACATAATTTTTACCCAATTAACCCAAACATTTCATTAAGACGGCGCTAAGTAAAACTAAGATACAGGATTTGCCCCTGCATTAAAACCTAAATAAAGAAAATTACGTCCTTTCATTTATATAAATAAAACGAGAAGGTTAATTTTTAAAATTAAAATGCACGTCGTGTCTAATTTTTATGAATTAGCCGTTCTTTTCCGTTTTTTTTCTTGTTCTTAGTTTGCATTAACTAAGATTGTTTACTACGTAATTAAAATAATACAAGAATACCCCCAGTCCCAGTCTCCTGCAGCTCTTGCAGTGTTGAGCAGCGTATCACTCTTCCGTTTCCCATTACCGGCACCAACCCGGGGGGGCTGCACCAGCTCATTAGACCGCGTTACTCTCTAAACAGTTGAAGTACGAAATTACAACTGTCAGCACGGTAAATCATAGACTGTAATCGTGGGGAATTAGCAGTATTTACTGAACAATTCGCGTCTTAATTGAAACAGCTTAAAGTTAAGGGTCGTTTCTCCTATAATTTGATGCTTTGTACGCTTATTGTTCATCAGGGTGGGAAATAGGAAGCGGGGTGTTACCTTCAGCTCAAACAGCGGTGATGTTGAATTACGGACGATGTGGATTAATTCATACCACAGCGAAATATACGCTTTTTATTAAGCAACTTGCGATCTAAAGTTTCATGTGTTTCAAAAAATGAATCAGGAATTATTACGCGTAACTTAGGCCGACCCTGCATCACCCGATTTAGCAACTTATCAATTGTTTACAAAGTAGGAAGTTGGTCAAGTTAATACACGTTATTTTGTTTTATTTCGAAATGCCTTAGTCAAATCGATAATTGGTGAATACGGTATTAATGTCGGAACAGCGTAAAACGCTGTTCAAAGACTTCGTGATACTGATAGAGTAAACCCAACGTCGTGGACAAAAAAGACCGCAACGTTTCTTGACATTTTACACCTGTCGAGAACAACCTGAGCCGCAGTACCCGCGACATTGCACGTGAAACAACCAAATTATACACAACAGGTATAACATAAATTATAGGTAAGCTTTTTTATTCACCACTATCATGTGTTGATTATCCTAATCGAAGAACAGAGCCATCCCGCTCCATACGAAGACATTTTTCAGAGTGGAACAGGCAATTACCCCGCTGTTACTTCGAGGGCAATCACGTCTGCCCGGGAGAATCTAATTAAGTCGCGCCTTTCCAGCTTTCCAGCATGCAAGAAACCCAACATTCACTGACTAAGTGTGTTGTAATTATGTCTCCCTAATCCATGTGATCGGAATTAGGACGATAATTCAGTTTCATGACGGGCGACATCTGGCCCGGCTTTTCATCTTATTTGCCTCGGAAATGTCCCGCCGCGCCCTTTGTTTCCAGCCCAGGCGGCCTCCGTCCCAGGCCGGAGTGTAGCAGTCAGTTAACAGATGGATTCATGAAAACTTTTTGCAGACAATATTTTACTAACGTGGAGAGAATTTTCAAATTTTGCTTAAAATTCAATGTTATTTTACACCATAAATTAAAAATATATTCATCAACTATACAGGGTGTCTCATGGTGACGTTCCATTAGAATTATTTCAGAGACTTCTTCGATATGAATTTTGAAAATTTGGGGTTTTCGGGTATGCCCTTCTCAATTAAAATAATGGCTTCCACGTACCACTTCCGGTTATACCGGAAGTAGACGTCAACTTGCTTATTTTAAATGAAACACCCTATATATTATTGCTATTTTGGATTCTACGTGTTATTTTAGGTGGACTTTTATGAAGTTTCCCTATTCCTAAAATTAACTGTTTTCGAGATTTTTTTTTTTTTTCAAAAAAATTGAGGAAACAGTGACTAGCATCGAACCATGTGTATTTTATAGTAAGAAAGATAAAGCAACAATATTTATAGGGGGGGGATAGCTAGACCCCTAAGCTTCCCATCCATTCTTTTAAAGTGGCTTAATTGCATACAGGGTGCTAGAAATATAATGCCGAGTTTAGTTAACTTCAAACCTTCATAAGTCGTTTTTTTTTAATGGAACACCCTGTATATTTTTCTATATTCTGATACACAATTTTATTCTCTTTCGAACGGTATCAGGGTTCCCTATACCTATCTCTTCTAATTTTTAAATTATCTACTATTTTTTGTGTAATCACCTGAAATCATGTAATTTCTTGCGAGGTAGCTGTGGAATTTTTAGCAAAATCTCAAAACAAACAACTAAACTGTTACCAGTTATTTATTATTATTTATTCACAGACGTTGCAATGGGATTCTAAGCAGAACATTTACAGTTTTTAATGAGACATATCCCAATTTTCCACCAATGAGCAGAATAAAGTTTAGAAGAATTCTAAAAAATCAACTTCATACATAGTAATACACAATAAGATAATAAAATAAAAGATAATAAGATAAAAAAATTACTTAAAAAAGTCACATGTGTTCAATATGACCCCCATTAACAGCTAAGCACTTGTGGATTCTAGAGATAATACCATCAGTCATCGCTTTTGAAAGGAGGGGGAGAAATCAGATAATATTTAACATTTGATCGGTTTGACAATTTTCTGCCAATCAAATGCTTTGACACTTTCGTCACCACAAGTTTGACAGATGCCTAGCAATATTATTACATAAACAAAGTAACTTTTTTCAAACTACAACATTTGCTTTTCAGAAATTTATGATTTATGAGTTATTTTGGGGAGCCAACTACTTTTAAACTCACCAAATAAAGCTGTTCTTGTGCAACTTCTTAGAGGGGAAAATATCCCGTCCTGGAACGCAGTCCGCCCCCTGCCTACTCAAACAGTTTCTTTCAGTTTGTTATTAAATTTAATTAAGCGGCCATTCAGAGTGCTCCCAGGTATGTTTACGATTTTAGTCTCTTAAAATAATTAACTGTTGCCCTCGCGCCGATTGCGACATACAGAGAGGCACTTAATATCGCCTATTTATTAAATTGGAGTGACGGGGTATCCGAACGCCGTATATTAGATTAGAGACTGCCGCGATAATAGCTGCAAATTTGAAATTAAAATCTTACGCCGACGTAATAAATTGCGCGTCCGTCGGAGCGCTTTTTTTCCCTTAAAATATAATAAATGGAAATGGCGGCGCCGAGGGGGATCCTGATTTGCAAATTCGTGTATTCCCAGGACGGGCTTATTAATGCAATAAATTGTTTTCGAAACGGCCCAGCTTCGCGCTCTACGCTAATTAAGAGGGAATTTTTTCCTCGGCCAGGTGCGGAGAGCAGGGGCGGTTCGTCACGATGGACCCGCCCATAAATATCTGGGGAAAGTTATAAAATAAAATATCTTTCACGTTAAACATAAATGATCACAAGCCAAGTTACCGTCGAGCATAGGCAACCAACATTACGTTGTTGGGACTATTAATTAAAAATCCCTAAGCCTCAGTGGAGTAGTTGAAGGGGTTAGGTGTAATTAAATAAAATTGTCTTGTTCCAACTATAACCTATCTTTATTTATCTATTGTTTCAGTAAATTTCCATGAAAAAATTTAAATTCAAGCTCCACTCGGAATAACAATTTTTCTCGCGCCGTCAAACTCATGTTTATTTATTGAAAGCTTTACTGAAACGTCTGTTACAGGTGGTGTGGTATCATACAGCGCCCCCCAGGGCTCAGAACCCTCTCAGGGTCTCTACGACAGCTCCTACGACGGCGTCAAATCCGATGGACAGCTATCCCTCGGCCTGGGCAGGCTGGTGGATGGGGAGGTGGGTTTGGATAACTTTAGGCTGGACATTGGATACGGAAAAGGTAGATGGACTGTGAACTATTTTGAGTTTACCCACGTTATTATTTTATTTCCAACCGAACTGACAAAAAATGTTCACTGTTTCAGGTAATGGATGGGTGTCATGGAAAAACGACACTTTTTCCGAGGGCTTCGTGGAATTGGTGTTTGAATTCGATCAAGTGAGGAACTTCAGCGCTGTCTACCTGTATACCAACAATTTTTTTAGCAGAAACGTGCAGGTAAATATTCTACTTGCATTAAATTTATGATGTGTTGAGGATGAAAAAATTTGTTACCTATTGACTTGGTACAATAATACGAAGAAACATTTTTGGAACCACTGACGCGGACGACGCTGTATCTGCGACTACAACTACAGAAAACTTTCTTACGGTTACGGTGCTATCAGTAGGCATTTTTTTTTCTACCGCCGATTAAAAACAAGTGTAATAACAGTTCCGTTTTAATTAGACCACCCAGACAGCGTAACTACCCGATCGATATCCGCTTGAGCAAACAAATTGCCGTCTAATTTTTTAAATGATGTTTATGTTCCCGAATTGGAGCAGCGAGAACATTAAAAATTTAGAAACCGCGGTGGGTATCGATCCCCACGATTCCCGATACTTCTCCAAACTCTAAATTTATACAAAAACTTCGAGCTTTTCATTACAATTTCATAAAAAAACCCGCGGTGAATGCGAACTACCTGACGGACTTTTTTAATACGCCGAGTTTTTAATGAAGGGGGATTAATAAAGTGACCGGTCTGTGGGGGGGGGGGGACGAACATGAAAAGAATTTAATCAGAAAACGGGCCCGGGATGGTTTTCGTAATCCCATATTGATGATTTTCTGATCAGCGCAAGGTGGGTAGTTAAGCAGGTGGATTTCCAAGGAATCGTTTGGTATCGACGTCTCACAAGAAGCGAATAAGTCAAAGACACATGAAAACTCTTTCAAATGTCAAATTCCAAGGTCGATAAATCGTGAAAAGTCCATAGGTCGATGGTTGGAGAGTTTTTAAAAAAATTTTTGAAAATAATTTGAAGGTGTCGAGATGGTTTAAAATATTTTGAGATGCTTTAATGTGCTTTGAAGTTTTTCAAAGGATTTTACTGTTATATTTCCTGCGTATTTGGAGGTACGTTCAAATTTTAGAAGTATCTCGATGAATTTCTCCCCTGTTGTACTCGGGCTAGGTTCTGTGGCTAGGATTAAGGAAGTACAAAGTAATTCTCTAACTGGCGAGACATCCGAGGGCAAAGATACACTAGCTACGACATAACAATCCGAAAAACTTTAGGTAGGTACTTTAAATATGAGCAAGTACCGTGAAATCACTATTATTTCCACGTATTTCAACACTTTTAGGCAATATTAACAATAGGTTGTCGAAGATTTTGTGTGTACATCAAAGTATTTTGGAACTTACACAAATTCTTTAAACTGAAATTATTTTAAAGTCTCAAAATATTTGGCATTTTATTCAGAAATTTTTCGATGTATTTCGAGGTATTTTTTATTTTTTGTATTTTCAGAGTTTTCAAGTCATTGCCAAGTATTTCTATAAAATTCGAAATGTTTGTAAATTTTCAAGATATTTAGACATATTTACTAGTTTTTTTATGTATTTCTAATAGTATTTGTATGTATTTCAACGCTTTTGATGTTTTTGACGTTTTGATATACTCGCTATATTTCTGAAGCTATTACGGTGTGTTTTTGTATACATTAGAGTATTTTCCATATCTTGAAGGATTACAAAAACTAATTTGACGAATTTCTATGTAGTTTGAAGCTACTTTGAAGTCTCTTAAAGTGTTTTTATTAGATTAATTGAGAGACGAACTAAAGAAGTAAATAAATATAACAATTTAGAACATTTTTGTTAAAAAAAAAAATAGAGTATCCTCTTAATATTAGACGATTTAATTGGACCACGATTTCAATTAAAGTAAAAGACCACTACACAGTTACAAGAATTATTGTTAACTTACATGTAGTTATTGGTATGTACCCGATCAAAACTCCAATTACTAAAGCAAATACAGACGGAAACGCGGGAGATCCACTTCCAGCGGTATTTTTCTACGCCGCCAACGCTGCAAAACGAACAAGACACGAAAAATAAAACTTCCGCAACCCCTTACTATCTCCAGTAGTTTTAAGAACCGACAGAACTTGCCTTTCCCCCGCTATGCATAATACACATGTCCTTTGAGGGAATTTAAAACGAGTTAATAAAACAACCATTCGCCGATGCCGGAGACGTTAAAACGTATTCTTTCGTTTGGTCTTGGTTCTGGCGGCGTTGAAAATTTAATTTAAACTAAAACTAAAAGTCGGTAAATTCACCAGCGGACGAAATAGTTTTCTTTCTCCGCACGCGGAAATGTTTTCGAAACAGGAATAAAAAGGTGGAAAGAGATGTGCTGTAGCTGTTTAATGCATATCCGATCTCCCGCCGTAATCTTTTTTATTATTAATGTATTTCTACTTAAACTAAAAGTACCCGGCGTTAAATTTTAAATAGGAAATTTTTCGAACGATATTAAGGCTAGTTTCCCTCATAGCACTACGCAAGCACAAAGCCCCTACTGATTTGTATTATACTTCTCGTCAAAACATTTAAAAAATTATTTTAACCAACCGTTGTTCAAACAATCTGCAATTCCTTGCAGGTGTTTTCCAAAGCTAAGGTGGTGTTCAGCATCGGCGGGCGCTTCTACAACGGCCCCACCCTCTCATACGCCTACATCCCCGACAGGGTTCTGGAAAACGCCAGGAACGTATCCATCAATCTCCACCAGAAGCTCGCCCGGTTCATCAAGCTGCGGCTGTTTTTCGCCGACCGCTGGGTCATGCTCAGCGAAGTGGTCTTCGACTCCGGTAAGCCGAGTTTCTTGCCCTCATTTAGGTCAGTAGACAAGAAAAAAATTCGTGGAAAACAACATTTTAGCTTGGAAACTGCAGTTACGTTCGATAATCGCGCAAACATTCGGTAACTAAACAAAACGCGCGACAGAGAAAGGTAAAACGAGAATAACGGCCCCTGCGAGGCTGGCGTCCTAGAGACACTCTATTATCTTTCGCTGGGGCGGGTTATATGTTACACTGCAACAACACGGTAACAAAAATATTGGAGCCCAGGTTATTCCAGATAATTTTTTAGTTGCTCGCATGATCTACGCCCCAATAAATTTGCCGGGGGAGATAAATTTTAAATTTAAATGGAATTTACGGGGTGGGCGAGGTGGGGGAGGGGGATAGCAGGATGAAAGCCATGCAGGGCGCAGTGTTTTTGAAGAAATGTATGTGTATATATATATATTGCCATTTTTCTGAAAATTCAATTGTTCTACGCCACTGACTGATCACATAATTTAGAATCGTACAATTATTTTTTTAACAGTTTTTATACTTGAGTATTTTTGTTTTATTAAACTTTATGGTGGATTAGTTTTAAGTTAAAAAAGTAATTCACGAAAATAAAGGCGAATAAAATGAAAATATACAGGGTGTAAATAAATAAGTGCGAAAAAATTCAGGGGGTGATTCCCTGTCGAAAAATAAAGTGGTATTTTTTTATATCAAGACTCACCCTGTATTTTTTCCTTGAAATGCATTTCAAAATATATTCAGGTATACCTCAGGGTTTAATTTTAGGTCTTCAATTTTTATAGGCATGTTGTTGTTAAAATTTATGATCACGTAACTCTTGGTCATATATTCAATGGTTTCGGCCAACATTTTGGAGAAGGAAAGTAATATTCTTAAAAGAAAATTAAATTTTGTTGGACGACGAAAGATGTGTTTAAAAAAAGAGTAATAATAGAATAACTAACAAATGAAATTAAATGAATTCATTTTATAACATAAAAGTTCACCCAATTAACACTTTTTTTTTAAATATGACAAATTATAAAACCTCGGTAACAGTCTCGAACGAGGAAATGTTTCATTTCATCAACAAGGCGGAAAATAATTCCGTTCTGCCTCAAAGACCGGCAATTATACACAAAATAAGTCAACCGTACGTCACTTGCCACTGTTCTCTTCGCGCGGCAGAGCGTGTAAAATATACTGTGCGTGGCACAACGTGTCGTATCATTTTCAGCGATCTCCAGAAGTGGCGTGTGACTTACCGACGGATTCCGTTACGTTCCAGAGCCTGTCTCTCTCAACATCACCGAGGAGGAGGCCCTCGACGTGGAAGAGAAAGAGTTCATCATCAGCTCGAGCGGTGATAAGGCCCTGGAAGCGTTCGAGACAAGTAAGTAAGGGTGCATCGATCTAGTAGGCTTATTTTTGAATATCCGGCACATCGCGATAGGCGTTCCCGATCTTAAAAAGCATGGAACTAATGCTTCTTTCTACTAACGCCCTAAATAAGTTATGGAAGAAACAATTATTTGCATCTTGTACATGATTATAGGACAATTCTCAATGATTTTTTAGTTGCTGCCCGGAAAGACGGAGACACATACATGGAAGTAATAATAGGCGTGTTAACTGCCATAATGCTGCTGCTGCTGATAGTATTTGTCATTATACTTATCCTAAATAAAAGGCACAAATTGCAAGGCTCCCCCACTATCCTCAGAAATCCATTTGGAGTTACGATAAATATGAAGGTAAACTTGTAAAACTACAATTTGGTCCCTTCTATACCCTCGATTTCTCTCGCAGGACCTCCTGATGAACCTCTCCAGCAGCACCGCTGCTGCTCCTGCTGCTGCCAGCAGACCCATCACCCCGGTGAGTCAACAAGAGCCTACGTCTGGTGACAGATCGTCTACGTCGTACGAGCACTACCGATCACCCCTGGTGACGGGATACTACGCTCCAAATTATGCCACTCTGCGATGCTCTGCTGCTATGGACGAGCCGGAAGAGCCACCGGAAGTACCGCCGTTGCCGGACGATGAGGAACACAGCATACATCAGGAGAGTCTCAGTGGGTCGTCACCTCTGCATTATAGGTAAGAAGAAATTTGGTTTTTATTGGAAACGAAATCGAGTCAAATTTATGTGCTCCTTAAACTTAATAGAGACGTAAACATCAACCCCTTTCCCTTTTACAGGAGCCTGCAAAGTACGCCTTCGCTGAGCCCCAGTTCGAAGATGATTAATTTGGGAAATCATTTTCCCAAAGTGGCTACGGACCCGCCCAATCGGAAGCGATATCATACGGCGCCCAGAGAGAAACACAGGGTAATGTATAACGTATATATAAACCTTTGTGACATTTTCTTTCAAAAGCGTATTAGATACTCCAAAAAAACCTTTACAGAGCTTATTCTCGAACGGTTTTCACTCGGCAATTACAAATCGAGATAATTATTAACACAAGTAAAGCGCTTGAGCTTGCTATTCCGCTTATTTCGAGCATGTATTTACAAAATTGTAGTCTGTAGGTATTACCGTTTATAATTCACTCTTCATGAAGTCAATGTAGATCAAAAATAAGCGAACTGAGTGTTTTTGAAAGCAATTAATTTAAAGTCGAAATTTTAAGTAGGCGCTTAGCATTTCACTTCTCTTTCTTCCCAGGCAGCGTAGAAGCATCCGAAATTTTCTTAAAAACAGATAAGAAGTGCGTTTAAATTGAAACATGTCAGTTTCAATTGTTTCCCGTACCAGAACCGATGTGAGAGATAATTTGAATTATTTCCGACAGATGCGAGGGGTCTGCCTACGTCAAAAGATACCTATAATATATTTAAAAGGAAGTTCTTCGCGGAATTTTACGTGTTGGAAAACGCGTGGGCGTTCGCTGAAGCGGTATCCTAATTTTTTACATACGTTTTTTTATGATTTTTAATGTTGATGTATATTTTACATCGATTGCCTGAAGCGGTTCGTCATTGGGACGTTGCTGCTGCCAAAATAATTTGCGGAAATAAACACACACGTGAAAATTGTTAACACAGTCACTTATTTTAATTGCGTAATACGCTAGATCGAAAGGGTTGTTATATTCCGACGACCCCGTTGCATAGTTTGCCAAACTCCCCAACTCAAACGTTGAAAATATTAAACCAACTTTCGCGGCCGCAATACATCTCCTGCAAATATTAAAGCGCAGAAACCGAGAATGATTATTCAGTAAGACTGTAGTCAGCGCTCGCTTCTCATAATCACAATATTCGCTGCCCATAAATCGTCCCGTTCCCACCGAACTAATAAATTACCATTGCAGATCCCACCCCCGGTGGTGTGCTGGAACATAGCGCCCAGCATGGGCCATGCCTACTGCTGCAGAGAACCGGAGCTGGTGCCCATTCCACGCTACTCCCTTAGGCCCCTGGAGAAGATCGGCGCGTGCCATGCGGGGGAGGTGAGTCTCGAGGTGCCCCTTTTTTACTTTGACGCTGTTAGTTAACCGTCTGCAGACAGGCACAATGCACAGGTATCCATAATAATGCAGAACCTTTAAAATTTACATCATCGTCTTCGTCGTCGTTGACATTCAGTAATGCAAAAGGTTCTGAGCGACGGGGATTATGTCCCAGTAGGGTCATAAATAAAACAAACACAGTTTTTCCTTCTTAATCGGATAGGTACTGCACTGTAAAATATTTCCCGGTACAAACAGCTTCCAATTGTTCCTTTACAATAATTTTTCGAACAAATTATTTTATCTTAAAACGCCTTACGTACTTTTCTGTTGATTTGAACACCTAAAGGTTGCACTAGAAGACGCAAACTATGAAGAACTGTTGTCAATACTCATTTCCAGATAACCTTATACGAAACAGAAGGTCTGGACGACATCATACCGGGAGTCTGCCGCCTGGTGGCGGTTCGGACGTCACCTCCAGAGAGGACCAAAACCGAGACGGCCGCCGGATCGATGGAGTCTCTGAGAGAAGTTCGTTTCCTAGCCGGTCTGTCGGATCCTAACATCTGCAAGGTCCTGGGGGTGTGCACAGCCGAGCAGCCCCCTTGGACCGTCATCGAATACGGGGAGATGGGAGATTTGGCGCAATACCTACAGTTCTTAGTCAATAGGAATGGTACTGTGCACCCCAAGGCAGACCAGCCTTTGAGGTGGGTTTTGGTTTGTTTTTTAGCTTTAATTTTATAAATACTCTAAATGGGGCTCTGCCGAAGGCTTTTTTGCATAGAAATCAGAGGTCAAATTGGGAATAGTTGGTTTAGCTACTCGTCTAGCTAGTACGAACGATGCAAAAGTGTAACCATAGCAACTTTTACTTCTGGAGAATATTTTGACATAATAATTGCATGCGGTGCTGTACAGAAAAATATAAGCAACTGATATTCATGGGGGACGCTTCCAAAGGGGTCCTCACGTACAATTTTTTTATTTCATTGCATTTTTTGGTACCTTATCCAAATAACTCTACATTGGCTTCGATGTCTGGTATCTGACTTCTTTGAAGAAAACTATGTCGACTTTTTCTCTGACCGATATTTTACGGGTTTTATTTTACTAACAACCCCTCCTAGGGCCTAACGAAATTATGAGAGAACTATATCCGAAACGCCTCACTCTAATTCCCCCCTTTGTCCGATTGCCTCAGCGACACAACCCAATTAAAGCCTTTTCAGTATCGACTGTTCTTTGTCTCCTCTTTCGGTGGGATACAAAAACATTAACGAAAGCAAACTAATTGGTTCTAATTTGGCGCGATCGTCCTATCCGTGTGGATCTGACTCAATTAAATACCGTTCGCAATCTTAAACAATAACAGGTTTAATTGCGGGGGTGGGGGGGGGCTTGTAATGGGTAATTGTGGTGTGATATAGTTACGAGAACTACCTCTAATTATAATACATTTATATATATAAAATATTTAATTAAACTGAGACAGAGATAGAAAATGTTAAAAAAAGTGATTTTTGTTTATTATGGTTTCGCCAATAATATAATAGTCCAGACGGTATCTGTTTCAAAGAGTTCATATTTGGGTGATTCGTATATCCACGGAGATTTTTGGCTTTAAAATATCACTAGAAATGAAAATTTTTCTATGCGCATAAAAAAAACGTGGGCTTAACTTTTGGCGGCACAATATGTTAAAAAAATTCGAAAAATGTCATATTTTTCTTCCTATTTAATTATGTATCTTTTCAAGAGTTGATTTTAGGCGAAAATGGAAGAGCAAAAAAATGTTTGTAATTTCATTTTACAAAATATGACTAGTTACAAATCGAATGAATCATAATTATTATTGTAAAAATCGAAAAAATTGTCAAAAATTGAGTTAAAAAACATTACTCTTTACGGAATTTTTTTGGGGTCTTTAAGTTGGGTATAGGACCTTCATACTTGGCTCAAGAAAAGTTCATGTTATGTAGAATCATCACACCAAATTTCATCAAAATCGGTTAGAGATTTTGCATAATAATTTTGCAATCCAGATTTTGAAATAAAATTTGCAAATTTTCAAAATTTTGTACAGCAAAAACCAAGGCCCTTAGATATTTGAAAATTTAATCACATATAGAAGGGCTCTCAAGCTTTCAAACCGTTTTTGAAAAATTCGAATCCGTCAATTAGGAGAGCTCTGGCGCTTGTTTAAACATTGGTCGAATTTTTGTACTATAATTTGGTATTTTTGTAATAAATAATATTTGAATTATACTTTAATCACAAAAGAAATGATGATTAAATTAATAATTAATTAATTACTAACTTTCGACATACATATTTTGAAAATAATTGTTGTTTAAACAATTTTAGAATATTTAAATAAATTTGTTTTTGGTCTTTGATAAACAGTATATAAGTTTATACACTTACCTTTGATACAATAAAAAAAATAAAGTTGATAATTAAAGGAAGTTTAAAGATAAATAATTATCGGACTGTTGAAAGACCAATAATTATTAACGATAGGCATTTGAAAATACGCTAATTGTTTTTTTAAATAGCGAGATTTCGATTTAAAAAAAAATCATTAAAATCGAACCTCTAGAAGCTGCGATTTTCTTGAATTTCTCGCTTGCATAAATAACTTTAAACACGTTTTAAAGTAGGTTGCCAATGAAGAAAAGTATTGCAAACTTAAACCTGATAAGCACTCGGAATACCAAAGGTATTTTTCGAAAAATTAGCCCGGATGTCCCAGTACATTTAATGTAAATGAATGACGGTTAACTTTGATCGGCCATAACTACGTAATTAATTGACCAATCGATCTGTTTTATTTTAAAAGAAGCGTCTTTCCAATAACTTTTAAAACCTGCTTTAAAAAATTTGATTTGATTGAATATTCACAAAGTTATCCTAATTGTTTATAAGTACAAAAATCCGACCAATGTTTATACAAGCGCCAGAGGTCTCCTAATTGACGGATTCGAATTTTTCAAAAAGCGTTTTCAAGTATCAAAGGGCCTTAGTTTTTGCTGTGCAAAATTTTGAAAATTTGCCTTTTTTTCAAAATTTGAATGGCAAAATTATTATGCAAAATCTATGGCACCGATTTTGATGAAATTTGGTGCGAAGATTCTACATAACATGAACTTTTCTTGAGCCAAGTATGAAGGTCCTATACTTAACTTAAAAACCCCCAAAAAATTCCCTAAAATGTAATGTTTTTTAACCCCGTTTTTGACGATTTTTTCGATTTTTACAATAACCATCATGATTCATTCGATTTGTAACTAGTCATATCTTGTAAAATTTAATTACAAACATTTTTTTCCCTCTTCCATTTTCGCCTAAAATCAACTCTTGAAAAGATACATAAATAAATAGCAAGACAATTTTCGATTTTTTAAAAATATCGTACCGCCAAAAGTTAAATCCACGTTTTTTTTATGCGCATAGAAAAATGTTCATGTCTAGTGATGTTTTAAAGCCAAAAAGCCAAAAATCTCCGTGGGTATACGATTCACCCAAACCAAAACAGATATCGCCTAGTCTATAAAGAAATTGCCAGATAAGCACCCTGTAGACATTCTACTCGCCTTCAGAAATAAAAAATTGCCTCTACCTCGGAAAACCCGCTATCAAGTTTCCCCCGGTTTAAATGTGAACATGCTATAATTTGCTATTATTGATATAGAAAATGTCAAAAAACGTATAATAAATCACTTTTTATGTCGGCAGACATACCTTTATTACTGCGCGTTATAGACCATTATGTTTCCTCCGAGATGTCTGAAAAATGGCCAGAACCTCGTCAAAAGTTGTATCCGTAGATAGCAGAAGTAATTCGATATTAGCTTTATAAAATTTAGGAACAAGAACTACTAGAAGCAGCTGTAAACTTTTGATAAATAATTTAACGATTATATTTGTGATGCTTTCGAAAAGTGACGAAAAATAATTTACTTGCAGCGTCGGCAGCCTCATCTTTATGGCAACGCAGATCGCCTCCGGGATGAAGTACTTGGAGTCGAAACATGTCGTCCACAAGGACCTGGCGGCCAGGTAACTACTTAAGTGATAAATAATGAAGTTCATAAGGAAAATTTTTCTATACCTAGGTACTGTAGTTAATGATTTTAGAAAATATTTTTTCTTGTACGCTTATGATACGCACTGGCATGTCTCTTAGTTTTTCAAATATCGGGCCGATAAAGTTTCAAACTGAAACAAATCTTCTCTGCTTTCAGGAACTGTCTAGTTGGTCGAGGGTATATAATAAAAATAGCGGACGTAGCGATGTGTAAGCCGCAATACAGGAAAGATTACGCTGAAATCGGCGGTCGACCTCCTGCTCCCATAAGGTGGTTGCCTTGGGAGAGCATTCTGCTGGTAAGGACGAAACCCTCATTTTTATTTCTTCTAATACGTTGTGTCATTTTTTGACAAATTACGTTTTTTGTTTTCTCAATTTCAGGACCGCTACTCCTGCGCTAGCACTGTTTGGGCCTTCGCGGTTACCATGTGGGAAATACTGTCGTTTTGCTGCGAAAGGCCGTTTAGCAATCTATCCAACGAAAAAGTTATTCAAAACGCGGAGCACATGTATTATGGCGGGGAACTACAGGTACGTAAAATAGTTTGTTCGATGATAAATCCTAAATTGTATTTTCTTGTTTTGAGTAACATTTTTAGTTGGTTTTTCTTATACTTATTTTTGTGTACTCTGTTCAAAAAATCCTATCAAAAAAGTTAAAAATAAGTGCTGTAGGATATCAAAAATGAAATAGAATTTTCTGATCCAAAATTCGAACGTAAAAATTGATCTTGAAACTTAAAATCGACATCAAATCCAAGACTGCCGACATATGGGGTTCTTGATGCCCTACAACTTCCATCTGAGGCTATTTTGATAGGATTCAGTTCTTTTTGGGGCACCTCGTATAAGTAACTAACACCTTGACAAATTTTAGGTTCTCCTGAACAAGCCGACGATGTGCACGACGGACATCTACGAACTGATGTGCTCCTGCTGGCGTCGCGACGACAACGACCGCCCCTCCTTCAAGCAGATCTGCTTGTTCCTTAAACATAGTAATAAGGATTACATTCCTACAGACTGATCTTGATGAAAATTGCTCCGTACAATCATGCTCTAATGTACATACCATTTTCTAGGGTAAACACTATTTCACTTTATCCCAGGCCCATCTGTATCTGTAAATAAAGTAGTGTATATAAGATCAATAAGTAGGACTTCAAGTTCTGCGAGGGATGACGCTTCTTACTGCGGTTTTGTGGTAGAGAGAAGTATTTTTCGAAGAAAGGGTAAATGAGAGTATTAAAATTGGGTTGAAGAAGTTGAGCGGATTTTGGCAACGTTATTCTTAACAAAATATTAATTACAATTAATATATTTACATCCCAACTCATGAGAATAAAATGCGTATTAAAATTATTATGAACATATCGAAACACTAAGCGAAAAGAGTAATTACACATATTTTATCAGATTAAGAAGTAGTAGAAACTGCTTTAATGGTGGGTACTATTTTAGTACTGGAATATAATGATTGTACCTATTATTTACCTCAAAAACTGTCTTAATTTTTCTTGAATTACTTTATTGAAATCATAATAATACAAATTTCGCATACAGTATATTTTATCTTGCTAATTCAGTATTATCTAGTAACTTTCTACAATTAAATATTTAAAACTGAGCGCGAAACTGGTACCAGTGTTATTTTTGAACCCAGCAAAAGTCACCAACAGCACAATCGGAACGCACTAGTAAACTCGTGCAAGCACAGAACGCAGATAATATTTCTGTAACATATACTATGGTTAGAGAGACGGAGATAGGAAAATGTTTTGTTTGACAGGAGTGGGGAAGATTAAAGAATTTTACGTTGCCTTGTTTTCAATTTTTTTTATTTTGTAAATAACAGTACTTTTACTTGTTTTATTCCTTGTCGGGACACGTATTCTTGAATGTGATAATAATGGCCAATGAGTTATTTACGGATTTAATCAAAAGGAAGCTGCTCCTAACTTCTAACCAACCAACGTTGCAGTTCAAATTTTAGGTTATGTTTATGTTACCTGACCTGCTTTCTCTGACGTCTTTAAATATTGGGAATTTCCAAATCCTTAATGTGTAATTTACCAGTTCCTCCGAACCTTTGCACAGGCGACATTCGAAAAAGATGTACATTTACCATTTGCCTTATGAAGAAAGGAAAGAACTATGTTACATCTTGGATCAGAACAACAAATGGGAAGAATTGGGAGGGTGTCACATGAAATACGACATGCTCACCATAGAGAGCATTAGAAAAGAAATCTATAGAGGTAACTCACCCACCAGTGAACTGTTGACGATATGGGGTCACCAGAACCATACAGTGTTAGAGCTGTTCGTGCTGCTGTACCGCATGAAGCACTACCAAGCAATGACTGTGATAAAGAAATTCGTCGACGAGAAGTACCACCCCCTGATTAAGAACGGTGAGGACAATTTGAATATGTTGCTGCGCAACTTCGAGATCAGCAAGAAAGAGAGCAACAAACGGGACTCCAAAATACACCCCGCAAACTTCGATTGCAACACCGAGAAGATACTTAACATTCCGCAAGTGGTGTTCCAGACTCCGATCAGCAGGGAAGATAACGAGAGTATAATTAATCTGCAGCTGTTGCAGCCGAAATCGCCTCTTCCTCGGGGGCGACTGGGCACTTCCAAGATGTTTACGGCCACGGATATATCTTGTGTGGCGGAGTCTGCCGGTGCCGTGCCACATATACCGTACGATGAGCTTCAGAATTCCACCAACAACTGGGATAATAGTGCTATACTTGGAAGGGGAGGATTCGGAACAGTGTACAAAGGTATTTGTTGTTTTAAAAGTAGTAATAATTATTTTTTATCAGAAATCCGGTTGCGTGTAGTTTTAAAAAGCTTTAGCATTGCTTTTGTTAAATCGAAATTGGAGTTTTATTATTTTGCATCGTCTTTGATTTCTTATTAATTCCCAAAAATTCCGTAAAAGCTAATTTGCAAATTATAATTATAATTTCCGTCCAGGAACATGGAAATGCACCCAAGTGGCCATAAAACGCCTCGAGCAGAAAGAAGACAAGCCGGAGAACCACAGCGAGCAAATCAAACAGTCGATAACGGAATTGCACTGCCTCAACGCCTACCGCCACGATAACGTCCTGCCCCTGTACGGGTACAGCATCGGCGGCCCGCACCCCTGCCTAATCTACCAGTACATGGCCGGAGGCTCGTTAGAGCACCGTTTGCGAGTCCGCGACCCCGCCAAACTACTAAAGTGGCCCACACGTTTGAACATCGCCATCGGAGCAGCTAGGGGGTTGCAGTTCCTGCACACCAGCATGATAAACGGCAAGCCCTTGGTCCACGGCGACATTAAGTCCGCGAATATATTACTCGACCCCAACGACCAACCGAGAATCGGCGACTTCGGCCTGGCAAGGGAGGGACCGCAGAGCCAGTACACTTACATCAAGGTCAGTCGGATCCACGGCACCCGCCCGTACCTGCCGGACGAATTCTTAAGGGCGAAAAAGTTCTCGACCAAGGTGGATACCTACAGTTTCGGCATCGTGCTGTTCGAGATCGCCACGTCCTTGGCGGCGTACTCCGACAAGCGGGAGGACAAGTTCCTTAAGGACCACGTCGTGAACTACCAGGGGGACATGTTGGATTTGAAGGATAAGAGGGTGGAGGGTTACGACGACTGTTTCAGGGGTCTGGTGGAGATCGGTAGGATGTGCGTTAACAAGAGGGCGAAGGAGAGGCCCGAGATGGTAGCCGTCTTGATCCTGTTGGAGAAGGTGCCTTCGGAATGACGATTATCACGCTTTAAATCAAGTCGCTGTCAATATTTCATTTGTTTTAAAGCTGAGGTCCGTTTAAGACTGCACTTGTTTGGAAAGTGTAGTAAATATTTATTGTTTAGATTTGTAGTGTGCGTATTCGTGTAATTGGGAAATTTTCAAGGTTTTGGTATTTCGCAAACCACGACATTCTCATGAATCGCAATCATTTTCATGTAATCGTTTCCTTGAATAGGCAATTTTTATAAGTATTAGAATTTTTTTTAACGAAATCGAATTTTCTTAAACCCGTTCCCTGAAATCTTTCATGATCCCCAGTTTTTTAATTATTTCGAATCGAAAAAAAAAGTTTCGAAAACCGTTTTAAAATAATTTATTATTTTTTTTACTACAAGAAAAATAAAATTAAAAAACTACGTACTGTGCAAATTTGTTTATTTCTTATTTATATGCTTTTTAGTACGATTACAGAAATAGTTTAATAAAAACGCTTGACCTTTCGCAAAAAAAATATATTCGAGTAGGGAAAAAGCAATTACTTACCTGGCCTTTCAAAATAAAAATAACGCATAGCGTTATTCAAACGGCCGAATCGAATCGTGCAGAATAAAAATAACGCATGGCGTTATTCAAATGGCCGAATCGAATCGTGCAGAATATATCGTCGTTGCGCTCCAAAATGTGACGTGAATATTTTTGACAACATCGAACCGCATAATGTGGTAAAAAACATCTTATTTTTCACAAAAATGTAACTGTCCGTGATAAAATTAAAAATAATTGCATTTCTTAAACAGAAAAGCCAAGAAACAGATTTTTAACAACATTGAACAATTTGATAAAATTCACATGTCGCATTTTGAAGGCGTAACGATAATATCCATAAAACACTGTTAATATAGTTTTTCAAAAATTGGCACTTAAAACATTGTAGTAGGCTTACAATTTGTTATTTTGAAGTTACGGTTTTCGAATACGCCACTAATAAAGAATATTTAAGATGCCTCATAGCAAATAGGCAACCAGCAATACAGTTTTATAGATTTTATTACACAATCTGTCTAAATATGAATTTGATGCACAAATAACAGACTTTCCTCCATTCTAACACAGATTTTCTATAAAATGGAGTCGATTTGAAACACAAATTACTTTTTGTTGTAAAGAAATTTGTAATTTGCTACGTAAATTACAAATTTCTCTACACCAAAAAGTTATTCGAGTTTCAAACAAAGTCCATTTTATAGAAAATTTGTGTTAAAATAGTGGAAAGTCTGTTATTTGTGCATTAATTCATATTTAGAGAAACTGTGTCATAAAATCTATAAAAATGTATTGACGATTGCCTACTTGCTATAGAGCCCTCTGAAGTTAAAAAAAAAACTGTTAATATAATTTTTCAAAAATTGACACTTAAAAAATCGTAGTAGGCTTATAATTTGTTATTTTGAAGTTACAGTTTTCGAACACTCCACTAATAACGAATATTTTAGAGGCCCCATAGCAAATAGGCAACCAGCAATACAGTTTTATAGATTTTATTACACAGTGTCTCTAAATATGAACTAATGCACAAATAACAGACTTTCCCCCATTCTAATGCAGATTTTCTACAAAACGGAGTTAGTCTGAAACACAAATTACTTTGTAAATTTGTAATTTGCCACTTTTGAATATCGTAAATTCCAAATTTCTTTATAACAAAAAGTAATTTGAGTTTCAAGCTAACTCCACTTTATAGAAAAATCTGTGTTAAAATGGTGGAAAGTCTGTTATTTGTGCATTAATTCGTATTTAGACAAACCCTGTAATAAAATCTATAAAAACGTAATGCTGGTTGTCTATTCGGTATAGAGCCCTCTTAAGTTAAAAAAAAACTTGTTAATTTTTAAAAAATTAACTAAAAAATCGTAGTAGGTTTACAATTTCTAATTTGAAGTTACAGTTTTCGAATACGCATGTTCTTCGACTCTAATAAAGAATATTTGAACTTAATTTTTTACGATGTCATTGGCCTGAGCAGCTGTAAATCGACACATTGTAGCCAGGCTCAAAATATGAAGTAGGTTTTATGACGTCTCAAAAAAATTAATTATTCAGATATATACAGCTGTGGACGATAAAAAGTGTACTAGCTAGACGATTCATAACATCAGTATCGAAATCTTTGTTTTGTACTCATTTATTTTTGTGTTGCGCTGTAATATAAAATTTATCGATACTGTAGCTTTACACCAAATATTTTTAACTAATAATATCGCGGGGAACCACTACTCTGCGGACTACAGCCCTGACCACCATTCAATTACACTCACAATATCTAGTAAACGTTTTGAAGTCGTTCGTGACTAAAACCACCATAAACGAATTTTGTGACAAATGATCCAGATATTGCGGTTGTAATTCAATGCCGTACAGGGTTTTAGTCTGCAGAGTAGTTGTTTCTCACAATATCACAGAACGATTGTGTCGATAACAATTTTAGCTACTTCCTTAGACATAACAGCGTTTTTTACGTCTGCATAATATGTAGTTTCTGCCGTTCGTTAAATCACTATGAAATTATTTAATTACTGCTGCATTCTGCATATCAGTGAATTACTTTTTGATTTAATTTGAAAGAAAGTAGAAATTTTGCTTGAAAATTTGCAAAGAACCAATTTCTCAAAGAGATTTAAAAGTTCCGCGGCACTCGCAGACTCTGAACGAACAAAGAAGAATCCGAATCTAATCTACTTCTTTTCAATATGGCCGACTCGCTCAGTCACAATTCTTTGAACCTTTGAAACTAATTTATAAGAAAAACGTATAACTTTGTTGATTTGTAGTATACTGTGTTAGTAGGTCGCTCTTTGCTAGTAAGTGCGGTGTTTTATGCGAGTTGAAAGCGGTGACATCAACGAAATAATACACTTTGTAGGTTTTATTTCGCTTAGTTGGAAAATTTATATTTTTAGACTTCTGTAGTCCCTTGTAATTGTCAAATTGAACTTTTTGTTTTCTAACGAAAAATCGGTAAATGTGAAACAGGATCTGAAAGAGCTAAATGAAGCGGTCTTTCACGACCGATAGAAAGTCAACAGAAAAAAATGATCCACAACGCATCCGCTCAACTTCTCCGCCCGACCACGATAAGTGCTTCCAAACGAACCATGACGTAACTAGGCTAATCTGCTCGGCGTATTACCTCCGTACACTTCGACACCAGCCACACGGTAACAAATCACTAATTTCTCAAAGATTCTACTAGGAAATAAAAATATCACTGTTACACGTAACGAGTTAATGTTAAGGAGATCGGGTCCCTCGCCGAATCCCCTTAAGGGCGCCGTGCGACGTCCCGATCCCCTCGAGGACTCTGTGATTAGGTTAAGGGGATTGTATAAATAAAGAGATATTTAATAAAGATAAAATACTAATGTATTTGATATAATATGAAAAAGGTTTAACAGATAGATTATTTTGTACCTGTTCTGAGATTTTATATAAAATAATGGACCAAAATACAAAAAATATTTATTGAACTTAAACCGACAGGAAAGCTATATGTAAATATATTGAGCAAAAAAAAAGTTATGCGTGTAACAAGGGTATGTTCTAAAACAAACATAAATACGCGAAATGATTGTGGAGGCGATAAAAGTTAGGCGGGAGTACCTAATTAGGAAAAAAAAATGATTTGTACCCGAAAACAATTAAAAAGTTGCTTATTCATATACAGGATGTTTTTAAATGAAGTAGCAAAACTGGTACCAGTGAGGACCGCCTAGCCGGGTGCCTTGGCCGGCGGATTTCGATCTGCCAAGGCAAGCATCACGGACGCAGGCTGGAATTTGGATGGGTGACCTAAGGCAGGCTCGGGGACGTGGCTGTGGCAGCCCACCAGAGACCTGGGTCGCCCAACGTTTGCCCCATGCGTGTGGTCCCCGATAAATGGTAACGAGAACAGAGCAAAGAAAATCTCTGTAACTCAAGACCATGCTATCATACATAAACTGTATGAGACTTTGCCACCAAAAAAGCTGCGCAATAAATCAGTCTTCCCAATAAATATTTTTAAATAAATAATTTGCTTCGTATAAAAAATTTCTAATAAAATATCGCAATGGGGTCGACTGTTTCACGCCTTTAAAAAATACGCCAATGATCGAAAAAATTTTGAAAAGTTGTCTTTATTAGTAGGATGCTCACACCAAGTTTCGTGTCTCTAGCATTTTTGCTACTTCATTTAAAAATACCCTGTATAACTATAATTAAATAGCTATTACGAACGGACTGTTTGCTCGTTGACCGTTCACAAACAAGATAAAACAATGCTGCATTCCTGAATCAAGGTCGAAACCAAACGACGCTCGTAGCCGCGTTTCCTGTTAAACTACAAGGGGGGTCAACGAACAACCTGCCCGTCTACGATAAACATTTAAATTCCTTCAATTGTCGCCAATTCATTCCTATCGCGCGCGAAAAGACGATAAACACCGAGGAACAACACCACCAGTATCAAGAAGACGTCCTGTTAGGAAGCTGTCGTAGGGGGGAAACTTAACGCTTTACTTTCACTAAGAACATGGTGTACAGAGTGATTTCAAAAAAATAGGAAAACGGAAAACTACAAATTTGGCACTTTTACATGAAAATTAAAGAATCATTGCACTTTTTTTTTAAACACCCTGTACACAATGTTAAGTGAAAAATGTAAAAAACGTTAAAAAAGTACGGAAAATTGTAACTCGTTATGAAATCTGCAATAAATATGTATAAATAGGCCTTTACCGTTGTTCTAAATCGTACGTTTGTAGTCACAACCGATCGAACTTACGATCGACGACGCTAGATGGCGACACTCGAGAGTAGCGCCACCTAGCGTCCTCACACCTAAGTTCGACCTAACTTATAACCACGTAAACAACCATTTTAAATTAGGTACTCCTCCCGATCTCCTTAAGTCACTGCACAGTGCTAGGCTAAATAATTATAAATATTAGATACAAATACTAACAGCTTAAAATTTGAAATGTTCAAAAAACCTGTAAATAGATATCGATATAATTATACCTATCGTTTAAAACATAAATAAACTTACGACCAACCAGCGAGTAGTTTCACTCTCTCCTCTATTAACTCAACAAAGTATGTACAATAATTTACAGTCGATTTTATACTCATATCAGTCTTTGGCAAAGTCCCTTCGTGTCGGCCCTCAGGCCGGCTCGCTCCCCAGTCTTATCCTCCTCGCCGAAACGATTCCTTTTTAAAAATAGAACGGCACCGACCGGTGTCGAACGAATAAATATATCACAATAACGGTTACGGATCCCACCAAAACAAAAATTTAGATCTCGTCTAAACTCCATTCAAATGAAATGTGTGCGGGCGGGGGGGCAACGAAGACGGGTCCAACTCGACGGACGAAACGTTCAGTTGTTGTTGGGCGACTGACAGAGCGACTGCACGATGGTGTCGTACTCGTTCAAGTCCGACTCGAACGTCTCCAGCTGTTTCGTGAGGTCCAGCTCCTCCAGGGGGGGCAGGTCGATGAAGGCCTGCAAGGGGGGGGCGCTCTGCCACTCCCTGTAGAACTTGCCCAGCTCGCTCTTCTCGTTTGTGCTGGCAAAGGGCGTTTTCTGCAATAAGATAAAGACGAAGGTAAGAATAGGGCCATTTCGGTGGGTAGATAAAAAAGCTGAAGCGGTTAGTAACATTCAGAATGAGGATGTTTATGAGATGGCTTTATTATGATTATTTTCGTATACATTTCTATAGAGACACGAATAAGATCTTGAAATTCGTCTTCAAAAAATTTACATGGCAAACGAATTGACCATTAAAATAACGATTATATGTACAAATAGATAAAAATACTTCACATAAGTATCTTTGTACGAGTATTTCAGTACTTGAATAAGTTTTTATCTATGCACAATTTTAAACTGTTTTGTATCTATGGACAAGCTTCTGGATTTCATATCTTATCTATGTACAAAATTTTCCCCTTGCACACTTAAATGATTTATCTATAAATACTACATTTTATTTGTATAAAAGTTTCATAGATTTATTCGTTACCTATTTAATTATCTGTGTACAGTTATCTATGCACAGCTTTGTATCTACGGACAAGTTTCTTGATAGAATTTTTATCTATGTACATTTTTATTCATGATTCATTTTTATCGTTTTCTAAATAACTCTTATCTATGGATAAAATTCTTGCTTTGTATAAAAGTTCTTAAATTTATCTATTATCTATTTACATATTTATCTATGTACATTTATCTATGCACAAATTTACATGCATATTTCGTATTTATAGACAAACTTCTCAATATAATTTTTATCTATGTACATTTTTGTTTACAATACATTTTTATCGCAAACTTTTGGTTGGTTTAATAAAAGTTCTTTTTACGTGTTAAAAATTTAGATATCTATGTAGATTTATCTATGCACAAACTTCTCACTATAATTTTTATCTATGTACAAAATCTCTCGTTCACTTTTACCATAGATTTCTAAATAACTTTTATCTATGGAAAAATGTTCTTAAATCTATATATTATCTATTTAGGTATCTACATGTACAGGTCTCTATGTAATCCGTTTTACCAATGTTTTTAAAAGTAATCTTTTTATGGTGAATTTAAGTGTACGTTGGAGAGAATATGCTGAAGTTTACCAGCTTTATCTATGTACAGAGATATTCACATAACTATTATCCTCTTGTCTTTCTAGTTAGAAAAAAATTGCAAAGACCAAAGTTTTAGGAAATTTTCTTGTGATTTCAATGAAATTTAAAAAAAAAATAATTGAATGTTGCGTTTCAGATGTATAAGCCTACCAACATTATCTATGTACAAAAAGGCAGCAATACGACTATGCCTTGCAATCAACTTGCTTTTTGAAGTGATATTTCAATCTTTGGCAAACAACATCTTTTAGGAAGATACCGCTGATAGGTTTGTTGTCGGCTTATTTTCCACAAATATGCATTGGGTTGTTTATTCGAGATGAAGCGGAGTAAAGGCCAAGGCCGAAAGCCTCTATTTATAGATTTTTCGTTGACAGATGCAAACACGAAAAGCGCAGTTTCTTGTTTACAAAATTTACATTGAATAATAGTCAGAAGTGTATACCAAAAATTTAATATTTCTGATTCCCATTTAGAATTATACAACAACTAAAATGTTTTTTCTATAATTAGTAAACGACTTCATATGTTGGTAAAAACGTTCAAAAATAATTTAGCAACCGTAGATCAATCTCTTGACTGTGACATCGAAAGGTCAAAAACAATTTCTGACGTAAAGTGTTTGCCGCGAGTTCATCGGGATTCAGGAAAGTACCGCTGTTTATATTAAAGAGTAAAATATTTATAAAATGGTTGGGTGTCTTCCCTTGGGGTCAAATCGGTGTACAACAGCATAGATACAAAACTATAAACAATTATACAACAAATCTTTAAAAAAAAATGTTACAGATACTGATAACGTTTTTTTCCTCAAAGTCGAACAAAAGAAAACTCTCCATAATCTATTTATTATGGAATTGGCGCCAAACTCTTGATAAAGCCTCGTTATCTCGCCACTATTATCAGATATTTATATTATTAACATTGTTTGATAATCCAAACAAAATTAGCAAAACAATATATTTTGGCATCATTATCGCAAAATTTTAAGTACATGTGACTCACTGCTTCCAAAAACAGTTTAATTCAATCCTTTTATCGACTTTGACGGGTTAATTTCTTTTTTTACCCCACTTTCGAAAGAAAACAAATATTAATATCCTTCTGTCCAGAACCAGGATCATCTTTCCGAACGCGAATATTAAATTACTTCGAAGAAGCCATGGTAGTTAACAATTTTTCTATTTCTGCCATTTAAAATTATAATTTTATTCATGGCTCGAGGTAAACGCACCTAGACTAGCCATTACACACTCCACTATAGCAACTCACGATTATTTTTTTGTGGCGAAACACGACTCCATACATAAAATATGAAAACCGGTACCGGCAAACGCTTATATCCATGTACGGGCAAAAAATACATGAATTAATCCCGCATCGAATGCTCAACGCAATGACATAATCACTTTCAGCGACTTAAAAGGCGGTAAACAAAATGCAAATCGCCGTTTTCGCACAAATATTAGCCTTGCAAATAACGAAAACTTATGCGAAATGCAAATTGGAATAACCCACAAGCGAATTTCGTCATAACTCGTATAAAAACGGGTTATGTCTATTTAAGTGACTAACACAGCCATACAAGTGAAGAAAAATCAACATAGACTCTATAATTTCAGTACGCATGCGCTCTACTTCAGTTTGAACCACGTTTGGGACTTAAAATAAGTGTAAAGTGATGATCACGATTGCTTTAGGATAAAAGGAAGATCTGATATCGGATAAGCAACAAAAGTTCTGGAGGAAATGAAGATACCATCGAAAAGATGTGGAAGGAACTTATCTCGTGGAGCTACATCAGCTCACGATCTTTATTTAAGAAATACGATCATAGAAGACCATTACATCACTGACGAGGATATAAATAGACTTGATCGTGATCTCTTTATAGATTTTTTAATAACAAAAACAGCAGCTGGCTGAATCGAACACGAAAATAGATGGGACAAGACCATGAGCTACTCGGCTGCAAACAAAACAATTAGTTTGGTAACAGGACCTTGTCTTCATTAGATAAGGAAATATGGACAAACAGGAGATTCCAAATTGTTGCATTTAGGGCCAGACTACGTACACCAGATTGGAGATTTATTATGTTTTTTTTCGTTAATGATAGCTATCAGTAAATTATGCAACCTTAACAAACGATGCTGTAAGTTGTTTTCAATTTAAATAAATGTTATGCACGCGAATAAACGCGAGCACGATAAAAACGGAGATAGGCGAATTGCAAACAATTCTAAAATAGCAACAACGTTATTTATTTATGAATAAATAACCATTAACGATAAGAAAAATCCTGGCACTAGCCCCGCGACTGACTCACCGCCAATTAAGAAATCCAGCTAAAACCGATATGCATTAAAAACTTTATAGATTGTGCCGCAAACAAATTAGAGCCTTCGGTCAATTTGCCAGATAAAATTGTTTTTTTGCGGATAATTGCTGTCGTTCGTGCAAAGCGGCTATTTTTAGATCCCGTCATATCAATGCCAGTGGTTTTTGATACGCTGCTCAACTCGAGAAACGTCCATTGAGCAAAAATTAAAAAAAAGTTTGCTTAATGGAGATCTCGACCAACCTTGGAAGCAAATACTTGTAACAAAAATAACTGTCTTTAAAAATAGCTGAAATTGCATGTACAAGTATTGGGTAAGCACTATTTTCAGTAGCACAAAAACGTTGGCAACTAGCAATGGTGTCTTTGAGGAACAGTCAAGGACAAGAACGAGCAAACCCAAGTGTCATTTTAACTACAAAAAAAAAACGAATTTCAAAATATCCCCAGAAGTTAGGCGACCGCCTAGCCGGGTGTCTTGGCCGGTGGATTTCGATCTGCCGAGGTAAGCATCACGGACACAGGCTGGAATTTGGATGGGTGACCTAAGGCAGGCTCGGGGACGTGGCTGTGGCAGCCTACCAGAGACCTGGGTCGCTCAACATTTTCCGCATGTGTGTGGTCCCCGATAAATGGTAATGAGAACAGAGCAACGAAAATCTCTGTAACTCAAGACCATGCTGTCATACATAATCGACTGAAACGACCGAAGTTAAAAAGCTAATTAAACGGATTATTGGAGTCACAGTTGTTTTCATAACTGTCAATGTCCAGTTTGCATTTTAAAGTTCGTGACTGTTTGCTGATACAGCGACGAACTGTCAAAATACCACGTTACGAAATTCAACAGGTTGTTTTGATCAATGGAGGTCTTTGGTGTTTACCAAACAAACAGTTACGTCAATGAGTGCAATGCGTTCGGTTAGTGTTAATGATAAACGATCTTGCATGCTCGTTGAAGCAAGTAAGTGAACCACGATATCCCATCCCCAATAAACTGAAATTTACTAGCAACGTGGCTCATCGCGTCGGCGACTTGAAACAGAAAAATACACACTTTTCCGTGTAAGTCAGAGATAAAAGAATTAGCACAAATCGCCGACGCCACGCGCCGCCGTCACCCTCAGACATGCAGCGTTTTTCAGCAAGAAAAATTTACCAAGTCTACCATAATGAAGTCGTCGTTGGTGGAGACCATGGTGAGGGCGTCCAGCCTGGACTCGAGCGGCGGCGAGGGCGGGTTGCCGTTCTTCTCCTTCTCCTTCTTCTCCTTCTCCCTGTCCTCCTTCTCGGTCACGCCGTTGCTGTGTTTGCTGGCGTCGTTGCTGATCGAGTTGGACAGGGACTCGCTGTCCTCCGAATGTTTGTCGGGGGACATCTTCTCGGTGAAGAGCTTGCTGAACGGCGTGTTGGGGATGATGAGCTGGGGCTCGAAGTTCTTCTTCTTGTAGTCGGCGAAGGCGCCGAGCTTCATGGTGTCGCTCAGGGAGGTCTTCTCGTCACTAAAAAAAAAGAAAGTTTATGACATTGAAACGAAAATATTCATAGATGCTTATGGCAATTCTCCTCCTTTCTGTTGATAGTTAAAGACACGTCACGCTTTATTTTGTTTTCGTTAAATATTTATTATGTAAATATAAGGAATAAAGGGTTTAAATTCTCTAAATACTCTAAATCTAATTTGAATACTGATGCAACTGGTCTCTAACAATTGAACAGGCTTTTGCACCAAGTCCTCAAACAAAACAAAAAACAAATGCTCAGGTTCATAAGAGACTTATATCTTTCATGACTGTTTCTTCAGGAATAAATCCAATGCAATTACGCCCTTAGTAACTCCACACGTCCAATGATGTGAAAAAAATGAAATTACTTGGCAAACAACGTTTTTTATCTTGTAGTGCCTACTTAAGGAGGCGCCACCAGTACTTGGCGTTCTATAGATACCCACCGAAAATAGACAGGCGGCTTTGAACTCCAAGGGTTTCTATTTTCATAGAGAATTAGGCTAGGTCGGCGACACCGGTAAAGTCTCACACGGGTTTTAATTCGATTTGGTGCGTCATCCTGGCGGTTTGCCACACCAAGACAACTAACTCGCTACTATTTTTACTTGTCGTCGGGCAGTACGATCATATGAGCAACGAAAATAAAGAAAACGAAGTAGAGGATTGCCTCAAAGTTTTTTTGAGCCATCAAAATTCCGAAATATTTGTTTGCGATCTTTGAATATCGTTTTCTAGAGCTACAGCGACAGTTTCTGACGTCTTTAAGAGAAAAAAAAATCGAAGCTACAGTATCATACCAACCAATATTTTCATTTTTCAGTCATTACGGCGCGCTGTCGTGCGCCACTGATCCGGTAACGCTCGATGGCTGCATTCAGTCACGGCTTGCATTCCACAGTGCATTGCACAAATACCCGACGTTGTATAAAGCGAGCTAACGCGAAATTTACCAGCTGGTCCGTAAAGGAATGCGTTGAAATCGACAGAGAGTCGCCTGGGCAGAGATGGCAGCCAAACCTACGCTTGCAATCAAGAAGACGACCGAAAACAAAGCAATTACGTTTGTTAATTAACTAGAAATCACCTGCGGTACCTTTCCTCGCACAATAGACGACGATAATTCCCTCGACGTCCTTACAAGGCCGCGAAATAATTAACGACTATAGGTCCAAGTGTGCTTTCACGCCTGAATTTGTTTTATTACGTCGACGTAGTATCCGGCTTGGTAATTTTTTGTAGATACCGTTCAAGGTTCCCTCAAAGAAGTCCTTAATTTGCGCTGACTGCTGCGTAGGAAGTGGTCGATCATTGATAAATGTTAATGGTGTCGAACGAGATTACAATGTCATTTGTAAATGTTGCAGAGATAATTCATTAAACTTTTGAATTCTTTGTTCGTTTCGTTGCTTGATGTAGCGAGAATATTTATGTATTTACCAGAAGAAAGTGACACATGTTACTCCAGAAAGAGAAAGTTTCTTACACCATTTGTCTCTGTTGGATACACATGCAGGTTTTTCTCCTGGAATGGCATTCAAATGATACGAGGTTATAAAAAAAAACGATGACACAATATCGAAAAGAAAATAGGTATCTAATTTTCTAGTATACTCAAAGGATGTAACCCGATACGCTCGACTTCCCCAATAAATTTTCGAGCAACTAAAAGAAAATTGAACATAAAACATCGGTTTATTGCGCCGAGTTTATGAGCACCACTTTCTTAGCATAGCTTTTCGCAACAAGGTCCACGTTGACTTTCCGCATTCGACATCGGAGATTATAGGAGTCGTAAAATTATTTACTGGTTATAAACGTCACTAGTGGGCTGCATTTTCTGTATCGATGCAAATTTATAGTTGTCTGATGCTACTTCACTACGAAAAAAGGGGTGTACATATATGTTGCTAATTCCTTATTGAATTATGTACTTTAATATGAGGGACATGAAAAAAAAAAATAGGATTTGTAGGATGTATTTTAGTGCATTGGCATGCACACTTTGGTTCCGTTACGCAGGAAAAACACGACACCACAAATAGGAAATGGAGTTTGCAAAATTGTGATTGCTTGCTATTATTATCCATTGAATTATTAACGATTTTATTGTCCGCTTCGACCTTGAAAACGCCTGGCAGCGTTAAAATTATTGATTAGTAATCCCCTCAGTGAAAATGAGATAATTGTTTTTCTCCTAGAGTATCCTTGACGGGCAGTTATTTACTTCACTCTACGTTTATGAAAGTGGCATTGTCTAGAGGCTACACCTCGAAAAAAAAATCGTTTCTAGTAAACCTTAGCCAATAAGGATACCCACATAATTATTTTCTCTTTATAAGTGACGTGTAGTCGTTGTCTATTTCTCATAAAATAAACTGACACCTGTGAAGGATACTATTTTGCAAGCAAAAGCAATAAAAACGAATTTAAACTGACGCTTCCACAAATCGTTAAGGCCACCTACTACTATGACGTCACGCCCTCAGCTCTCAATCTGATTTACAAAAAACTAATTAGGAACAGTACGACATAAAATCGTAAGTCGATTTGGATACTATCGGGAATCTTTCCGCACAGAAGGCTGATTTTTTTATGAAGAGGCGATGAAAATAATACAATTTTGGACGAGCGTCAAAAATGTTGTTTTCGATGGAAACGACCAGAGAGAAACGGCTAGCTTTAGAACAAACAACTAAAAAAAAAAAACTATAATTATGTATTACGTACGACATTGTTATGCTTGCAACAATTTAATGAAGTCGGCGCCGACTTATACGTCAGTCGTCAGCAGACCAATTCCTGGCAGAACGAAGTTCAATTGTTTTCAATTGAATCTCTCGAGTATCTTTGAATGCAGCAAAATATTTTTATCTTTGATTTGTACCAACAAAATTCCTAGATTATACGACATGACTTATAAGGATAACAGAGCAAGAAGATCCATAACAAGTCTTCGTTCTTTACCATTTCGTCCGAGTTCAGTCACTTGAAGTCAACGATTTTCACTGGAAAAACGACTTCTCGGAATAGTTTCCATTTGAACGTAAGCCTGCGTGCAAGAGTTCTTCACACGGCGCTACAAGCGACGTGATTTCTAAGCATGCAAGTCACGTAAAGCGAAAAACACGTGATTTTTTTACGGACAGGTACCCATAACTCGGGAAAGTACCTACGACCTTCACAGACCACTGTACAACAACACGCAACGAAAAAATGTATGGTATAAGCGGGTGTAATTTCCATACAAATAAATCCTACGAAAGTTTTAGTTGCTCACTCTCAATATGAAAACTTTGTCACTTATTGAGATCTAAGGCCAGAAAATAAGTTGGTATCTATTTTATATAAACGAATTCCTTCAAAAACGGATGCACTAGCAAACCATAGCAAAGAGAATAGCATCGACACAAAACTAGAAGAAAAATAACTGATCGTTGATTAAGTTAACCTTCCTACTGTTTCTGTTTTGGAAATACTATTCAAAACCGCCCAGGACTATCACCGCGATAAGCTGGCCCACATAGCGTCTCAATAACATAACATCGAGGGCAAAATAAACTGAAAACATCAACAAGGGGAGGCGTGTGGTCAGCGGTCCCGTAGAGAACACCTTATTTTTAAATTTTGCAATACGGCACAACCTTGACGTAACCACTACCTCCGTCAGTCCGAAAGGACAATAAAATAATTGGAATTCTCACACACCCACCTACTTTTGATTGTATAAACAACACGTCACCGTTACCTAGAATCTTCTCCGATTTGATTACCTGAGCAGGAAAACCATTCGACAACGGGGACTTTTGTAATAATTATTACCAATGAATATTGATATACCAAGAAATGTGGATGCGTAAAGATGAATATCAAGTATAAAACATTCTAAGATAAGGCTATATGTTCATCTATTTAAGTGAACTTCAAATTTGAAGATAAAAATCGCAGTGATTACTTGTAGCTTTATTTTGCTTCTCACTTTATCTATATTTACTGTGTAGGAAGATAAATAATAAACCACCAAATTATGCCAAGAAAACAAATATTAAGTAATTATTTCGAGGGGAGTACGAAAAACAAGTGTTGCAAACAACTTTAGTTGTTTAGTTGTAACTGTCCATGAAAAACAATATATTCTTTAGTAAATTTAGCAAAAATTTATTACTGTCAAATTTTCATACAAAACGAATTGTAAGATTTTTGATAACATATACGTCATTGCAACATTCCTCGCGATATTGAAAATTTTGTAACAAAGTAATTATTTACTCTGAAAAAGGTCATGACAATCGAAGAAATTGTCAAATAACCAATACCACTTCTGATATGCAACTTCAAGAGGACCGACTAATATACAGTGTGTCCCACAATTGTGCCCTGAAGAGGTACCTTGCTTGGGGGAACTTATGTATTTGACTTAAAATTCCAGGGCTGTAACGAAATTATTCTCCCCAATTTCATAATTTTCATGTGACCGTCCTCTTCCTTCACAACAACTTCTATTTAAGAAGTTTTTCAGTATCTCTTCCCATTCAGAAGATATAAAATGATATGGATAGAGAAAAACTCTGGTTCGATCAAGTCTGTTACTGACTCGCTAAGAGATACTTTAAAAATTCATTCATTACTGATGTTTTATTTTTGTGCAAATTTACCATATTTATTTAAAAAATGAACACTCAATTTTTCAAGGAATTTTTAAGGAAGCTCCGAAAGATTCGAATTTATAGAAACAAACTATTTATGTCCATAATAAATGTAAACATTGAAAGTATCAGTAACATACTTGATCAAACCAGTGTAACTCTCTATACATGTCATTTAATGCTGCCAAACACTTCAATGAACCTAAACTCAATGCAAAACTACTTGTTTCACAAAAAATTTACAGAATGATTTACTGTACTCCTGAATCGTGACACACCCTGTACAAACACCCGACAACCGCGAGGATTCTTCGTCGCTTCATCCGCGCAAGCCACACTTACCAGAAGAAG